ACACGTACTGAATAGTCATTATTTGGAATTTAAACCCAAGATGAAGAACTGGAAATTTCTTTACTGTATTGGATACCAAAAATACATACAACTTTATATTGCTGGATCTGCCAAATGCTCAACGAAATCTCTTTCTAAATTATTAACATCTATTTTATCAGGACTCAGAGTCGGGATTTAGAGCTTATGTGTAACTTCCTACTCTAGTAGGGGCCGTATGAATCGGGTGTGATTACAAAACAACTCCACTCCAAATATATCTGTTAGATTACATACAATCTATATCCCTTTCCTCTTGCATTAGTACAACCACATTCGACTTCTCTACTCTTTACACAAGTTTTTCTCATTTTAAACTTAAGGAAAGATTGAAATAATTAGTCCAACTTTGTTGTTTCATTATCATAAACCATAGAATGGCCAACGTAGATACAAATATCTAGTTAAAAATAATGGATAAATGTTTACACAAAAAATAAACTGCTTCGCCGAGCACAGCTGGATACGACCGCAGAGGTCCAACCCTAAACAGTTGGGGCAAAAATGGACACAATATTCAAGCTTGATACAGGTCTGAATTTGGATTGTAATTAAATATTTGACACATTATAAGTTTCTGACACAGAATAAATGTAGTCAAAGAACTTGAAATTGGTTGTATGATTTGAATTTATATTCAATTGAAGATTTCTTGCTGTTGTGCAATACACTGTGCTATTGCGCAATACTTAGTAAATCTGTTTTCAGACTATATATAAACGAATTAGCAAAATAAATTGTGACCCCCAATTTTTTTCTTTGGAAAATTGACAATTTCTTAAATCTTGAGGAAAAAAAATTGCCCCCCCCCCCAAAAAAAAAATTTGTTTACATCCCCCCCCCTTTTCCAAAAAAAATAATTTTGAAGCAATTTTCTTTTCGTAAAATGTGGTACAAATTAAGAGACATCCATATCACTTAAACATAAGTTATTGTCTGAAAACAAGAAAAATGCTTGTTTTAGACCCCCCCCTCCCAATTCCTGAATGGTTTGGGCAATTACCCCCAAAATGAATCCCAACCTTCTACTTGTGGTATTGAACCTTGTGGTACAATTTCAGAGCAATCAAAATACTTATACATAAGTTATTGTCCTGAAACTAGAAAAATGCTTGTTTTGGCCCCTAATTCCTAAACGGTTGGGACCATCACCCCCAAAAACAATCCCAACCTTCCTTTTGTGGTATTGAACCTTTTGATAAATTTCATAGAGATCCATACACCTAAACTAAAGTTATTGTCCAGAAACCAAATGTCTTTAGACGACGCTGACGACGACAACGTGATACCAATAGACGGCCGCAAAAATTGTTTGCGGTCGTATAAAAACGGATTCGATAAAAAAATTCTCTGAGACTTGATCTTTCTAATTGACAACGTATTTAATTGAAGAACGTGGTCTTGCTGACTTGTTCCTTTATTCATATGAGGCAGACTCCATACAGGAGCTTCTCGGTAAAGCTAGGATCATTCTTTAACTTCATGTTCCGCTATATAGTTGATGGCGTCTCTCTAATTCAAAATTTGGTGACTACCCCCGGTAGGTTGAATACATACATCCCATCGAACTTGAAAGATGGATACCACAGATATAGGTATAAGTCAGCCTTACATCTCAACTGAAATCTAGAAATTGGCAACGAGTGTGGGTTGAGAAAAAACTTTACAAGATATGATTTCAGCTTTCCTATTGTGAACTTTCAGTTCTATGTAGGAACATTCAAGCAGCGCCTGCATAAGGAGTATATATTTCCCATCTGGAACGGTACTCCAGAGCTTGTGTTTGCCTTTATATAGGGTTATTGATTAAAAAAATATATTGAACCAAGAATTCCTAGTGATAAAGTTGAAAGTCATCACTTCCAACTCTAATTGAATATCTATCACCATTAAACATGGATACATTCCAATAGTCGTAACCATTTTCCCCCCGTCATTTTTTCCTAGATTATGACATCACCTTATGTAACTTAATTTGTTCTAGCAATGATCAACACATATGGAGTGCAAAATGTTTAGCAGGGTCTTCTCATCTTTCCAGAGAACATGCGATTCCCTCGTTTTGTTGCTTAATCTTTAGTTTTGTTATGTAATGACATATGTTGGTCTTTTCGTATTTTTTGTTTTTTTTGCAACGATTCTGTCCTTCTCTCTTTTACTTAAGTTTTGATTTCTCCGAACTATCTTATACTGACATGCACTGGAACATTCCTGTCATGCTTCATTGGTTCTTGTTATAGTCCTTGAATATTAGTTCAATAGACCCAATTTCCAAGGCTCCTTGGACCATAATTAGACTTGAATCATAATTTATAGGCTATATGTGCTTATTTGTTTGCTTTATGCAGGTCTTATCCCACTTCATGATGCTTGCATATTGATATTTTGTTTGCTAAATGTATGTCTCTGCATTTTTTGTATGTCTATTTTTTACATATCTGTATCTGAATAAAGCTCAATAGTCCTTATGTTATATGTTTATGATTCACCTCGTTCACTGAAAAAAAACTTCTACGCTTAAATAATGCTATGCTAAAGTAAAACAAGAGTGGACGCGTTGAAATGTATCATCTGTTTTACTTATTGAATTCATGTTGAAAGTCTGTAATATGAAGGTTTTACTACAAGTGTCACAATAGCTTTAACATTATCAAAGTTCTATGAAAATGAGGTCACAGTCAGATCAACCATGCCAGACAGACATGTACAACTTACAATCATTCCATACACCTAATATAGTGGTCCTTTCGCTAAAAGTAGCTGAGAAATAGATCAAACCACAAAATTTTAACATTGACCAATGCACAATGAAAATGAGGTTAAACTCATAAGAACCCTGATAAAAAGACATGCTCACCTCACAATCAATCCATACACCAAATATATGTTTACCTATTGCTTATAATATCTGGTAAATAGACCAAACCACAAAAACTAAACATTGTCCAATGAACCATGTAAATGAGATCAAGGTCAGATGAAACCTACCAGATGAACAAGTACATCTTACAATCATTCCACACACCAAATATAGTTGACCTAATGCTTAAAGTATCTGAGATATAGACTTGACCATGTAACCTTAACCTTGCTCACTGATCCATGAAATGAGGTTGAGGTCAGGTGAACCCTACCTGACAGACATGTAGACTTGCAAGGAACTCATATACCAAATATAGTTATCCTATTTCACTTCACAAAAGAACTATTTTTTTTTCAAGCAGTCATTGAACCATAAAAATGAGGTTATGGACAATGGACACATTACAGACAGAAACTTTTTGACTAAAGGTATCTGTATACAAGCTATGAAGCATCCAGGTCTTCTACCTTCTGAAATATAAAGCTTTACTCTGTCGCTGCTGCCGCCGCCTGATTGTAATCCTTATGTCTCGCATTCTGCTACTTTCATTGCAGGCCAGACAAAAATACTTCGTAAGTACTTTTTAATACTTTTTAAAGGACAATACTGCACTGCATGGTTTTTATTCATTTCACTTCAATTTTTCTGCACCAGATGTGCATTTCGACAATAAATGTCTCTTCAGTGAAGCTCAGGGCCAAAATATTTGAAAATCCAAAGCTTATTAAAGATATGAAAAGTAAGTCATGTTCAGTCTTGAAGTCACTTTTTCAGACTTATCTACTGCAGTACTGTTCAGACAATTCGCTTGCAGTCAATGCAATACTGTTCAGAAGCTTTTCATACAATTCAGTATGTTGCTTATGTGTACAGGTAAGTAACAACTATTGAACAGTCTGAAAAGATCTTAATTGATTGCAAGTGCATTGACTGAACAGTATTGAATTAACCGTAGGTGATGAGTCTGAAAATTGACAGAAAGACTGAACATGGCTTTAAAATTCATTGTTTGGTCTTTTTACTACTGCTCAGATCAAAATGACCATTTCATATAATAAACTGCTTCGCTGAGCGCAGCTAGATACGCCCGTAGAGGTCCAACCCTGAACAGTTGGGGCAAAAATGGACACAATATTCAAGCTTGATTCAGGTCTGAATTTGGATTGTAATTAAATATTTGACATATTATAGGTTTCTGAATAAATGTAGTCAAAGAACTTGAAATTGGTTATATGAATTGAACTTATATTCAATTAAAGATTTCTTGCTGTTGTGCAATACTTAGTAAATCTGTTGTCAGACTATATACAAATAAAGTTCAATTAATTCTCAATGTCATATTAGAAATTTATGAAAATAAAAAGGGAGATTACATCAATAGATATAAACAATTCACCAAAGTTTCATGAGAATTGGTGACAGCATTTTTGAGTTATTGTCCGAAAACTGGAAAATCACCTCTTTTTTTAATGAATAAAACCCCATAACTCAGAAATGTAAAATGTAAAATTTATAAAATTCTAAAGGGAGCTTACATCAATACATGTAAACAATTCACCAAAGTTTCATAAGAATTGCTGAAAGCATTTTTGAGTTTTTGTTCGAAAAACTGGAAAACCCCCCTCTTTTTATGAATAAAACCCTGTAACTTGGAAACGTAAAATCTAAAATTTATAAAAATCAAAAGGGAGCTCATGTCAATAGATATAAACAATTCACCACAATTTCTTGCAAGTTGGTGAAAGCATTCTTGACTTATTGTCCGAAAACTGGAAAATCCCCCTTTTTTTAATGTATAAAACCCCACAACTCGGAAACGTAAAATCTAAATTTTATAAAAAACGAAAGGGAGCTCATGTCAATAGATATAAACAATTCACAAAAGTTTTATGCAAATTGGTTAAAGCATTTTTGAGTTAATGTCCGACATGTTGACGACGGACAGACGGACGGACGGACAATGGTATACCATAATACGTCCCGTCCCGTAAACGGGCGTATAAAAATTGGTTTACTAGTGCACACACTTAATTTCACAGCTTTACTACATTATGCCTGGTACAAACAATAAAACACTACATCTTAAGGACAATTAGTCTATGTTTAAATTAATTTATTGTACAAAATGAATTTGAACAATGAGAAAAGTTTTGGTTGTGCACAAATTGCCTTCGTGTCATCTGTCACTGCAGTCATTCACGAAGATATATTAACTGATCATTTACATGGCTAAAAATTTAGAAATAATTTGATACAAATCCAAGGGCTGGTAATGTTACCGATCCACTCTAAATACTGTCTATTATGACCTGAAAAAGACATGAATAACAATTATAAAATTAAAAAAAACATTCTATTTGTTATAATTAACATAATATCATATGGGTTTTCCTTCATTGCTCCCATATCAAACTGAGTCAGTCCATATAAACCCAAAACCTTAAGCTTGGTTTGAAATGCTGACTTTGGTCAAAGGTAATAAGAAAAACTTTGTATCATATTCTTATGATTATAAATTGCTTGAAAGACGTGAAAACATACTATTCCTGAACCTGGATTTCTAGTAGAAATAAAACCAGGGAGTTGCTATATTGAAAAATTCAAACTAATTGGGTGAAGTAAACTGAAGCTCAATACTATGCAGTACACACAAACACAGAGTTTGATAAGGGCTATTCCATTAAAATGTATGTGGGATGGTAGGAAGGGACTTTCAAAATATCCCTACAACCAAGAATCATTTTAAGATAATTTTGCATAATGGTAATACACACATACTGAAAAAAGATCAATGACCCACATTCAATAATTAAACTTCCGTTCCTACCCTCCCACATACATTTTAATGGAATAACCCTAACTTATTGGGCCTAAACTGTGTAATGTAGTATTTCTCTGTGCATCTCCCAAGAACATATACTTAATGGTCTAAAAATTTATAATTAATCTGGCTTTAAAGGCCAAATAATATAAGAACAACATTTTATATTTTCTGCTAAAAATGTACTTTTGAGTACTTTCTGAAAGTGTCTATCATCATGATCATAAAATCATTCTGATCAGCAGTTCTGACTTCTCATTTTAAATCCCTGCTCAACTTCAGGAATATTGAAAAGGTTCCTTCTCTGACCATAAAGAAAAAGCAATAAATGATTTAATTATCTGTTTGCTAAAATTTATAAAAAAAAGAAACTTGTACATTATGTTTAACTCAACTTTATCATACATAAATTAACTGTCAATTTTCATACAAGTACAAAAACTGCAAATCAATCTATATTTCATACACAATTTAAAATTATCTGAATAATGTTACTGACTTTCTAAGATGAAAGGCTTTTAATGATAGACATATATGTTGATTATTAATACTGATTTCTTTACAAAATCATTGATACACAAGAGTGCATCAATGAAACAAAGAGCTAAAATTTTATATATGAGAAAAGTAACATAATAAAAGATTTCCCACCTTGATCTTGACCTGTGTTTACGACTGGACTTCTTACCACTACGCTCTTCCTTTCTCCTCCTACTTGATCGTGATTCTTCCGACGGACTCCTTCGACTCTTTTGTGATTTCCTATGCTTACTACGACCTTCATTACTTTCCACAGAATAAGATCTAGATCGCTTACGTTTTTTGGACTTACTTTCCCTATGTCGTTCAGATTTTTCTGAACGTTTAGACCTTACTTTCTCCCGATCACTTTCCCTTTCCAAACTACGGCCTCTGTGATTATGTTTTTCACGAATTTTATATTCCTCTTCATCTAAGTAACTAGAATGCCGCTTTCTATGATCGCTGTCATGTGATTTACGATGACTTTTGTCATGTGACTTACTATAGTCTCTATCTCTACTATAACTACGGCTTCTGCGTCTTTGACGGTCCCTTTCCCTACTATATGACCTACCCCCCTCCCTACTTTGGGTCCGTGATTCTTTATCTCTCCTTTTGGATTTGCTGTCATTGTATTCCTCAATATAGTCTTTATTACGTCTTTTACCATTTTCATCTCTACTTGAAGTTCGTTCTATTTGTTGTACTTTCGGTACTTTTTGTGCTTTTTTCTTTTTTGCATTTGAACTACTCTCAGATTCTGATTCAGAATCTGAACTAGAAGAACTTGAGCTTGAACTGGAAGAACTACTTGAATTAGAGGAGTCAGAAGAACTAGAACTTCCGGTCCCAGAACTTGAACTTTCACTAGAACCCACAGCCCTTCCCTTATCTTCTTTTTTCATTTTTTTCTCTCTTGATTTGCCCCCAGATTTTTTTGATTTATCATGATTTGATGGAGGTTCTTTTTCCTCCTTTTGAACCTCTAGTCCTGGAATTTCACTATAATTGCTTTCAAATGGATTACTACTCTTTTCAGAAATAGGGTTTTTTAAATAGGCTGGTGTCTCTGGTTCTGAAAAGACAATAGTAAGAACAAATTGCCAATTGTCAAAGCAATAAAAATTATCTGTTCATGCAACATTTTAAGCCTGGTATGTATGACGAGCTTAAATATAAACAGAAGACCTTAAGATAAGAAAATTGATTTCTTCAAATGTCAGATATTCAAAGAAGAATATTGTATACTGTGAATCATTTATGTTCGTGGATAAAAATTTCTCGTGGATTAAGGATAAATTTCATTTTTTTGTTGATATTTGATTTCATGGTTTTACAAAATTCTGCATACAAACCTATAGAAAATTTGACCCTTATTGAACATTTAAACTTGTAGTTCACCAGTACCCATGAAACTTGGTATTCCACAAATACTGAGGAATCCACAGAATGTTTCATTAATGGACACCATGTTTACCATGTATGATTGTTACATTTGTTTGTTTTTATAATGATTAAGATGATAACAAAATGTTGACTGCTGTACCCCTATTTTTGACATTTTTAACTATTGTGTCTGTTTGTTTTGTTCACGCATCGTTGTCAATATAATGGAATTTGATGCGACTGTCATACAAGTGAGAGGTTTAGCTAGCTATAAAACCAGGTTCAATCCACCATTTTCTACATAAGAAACTGCCTGTACCAAGTCAGGAATATGACAGTTGTTATCCATTTGTTTGATGTGTTTGAGCTTTTGATTTTGCCATTTGATTAGGGACTTTCCTTTTTGAATCTTCCTCGTTTTGTGATTTTACTTTTTATTTCAGTTTTTATGATATCAGATTTTCATATTTGAGATTAAGCTGTTGCTTTCAGCTTTCCATTTGTGTCTTATTAGTTGTAGTAATTGTAGAGATTTGCTAGTACCAATAAAATTCTTTTTTTTTAATCATGGTGCACGAATATGCTACAAAATTGCACTTTTCAGTGCTCTGTCTCTAACAGAGAATTTCTGCTTTTAATTTCTGATTCCCCACTCCATTGTATTCCTCTAAAGACTACATAATACTAATTAACTGCAAAATTCAACACTTAGGATTCTCAATCTTTTTGTAAGGTGTGACCTGCCAGCAACTATCAAGATGAGGAACAGAAATTAAACCATGATCCTTTTATAATAATAAATGACAATTCCTATTAGGAATCAGGGGTGTAGAAATATTATATATATATATGTGAACATGATTAATACCATGGGGAAAAACAGAACAACATAGAACTTTAAATTTATCTCTTCTTGTTAATTTTCACTCTTCGTCCTTTTCCGCTTGGGATTTCCATTTCTTGTCTAATCATTTTTACTTAAATGTTGTTGTCATCTTGATCATTGATGAATTTTACTTTAAAAAAATAATGTCTCAAATAAATGATATTTTGATAACTTTACCTTATTTTTCTATACAAATGAACATTGTCAATTCCAAATTTTTTACTTGTTTTTTCTATGTATATTTTATTAATTGTTTATATTTTACTAGTCACTAGTTTCTATCCTAATTTCAAAAATACTGATGATTTTGATAATACAATTTAACATTGCAGAAACAAGAGTTATGACCAAAATTAAAAAACCTTAGTCAGCGCGCTCACATACCCCACGTCCCCACATTGTTATTGGAGAAATAAAATAAGTGTAAGAAAAAAAATTGTATCAGAAAAAAAAATTGAATCATAATTTCCTGTCAATATGCACATCTACATAGTATGTCCTTATTATCTAAAAAGGTTTCATGAAATTCTGTTGTGTGGTTTGAGATGAGTTGCGATGATAAAAGGTTGCAGTAGTATATTGGGCAAATAAGTTCAAAGGGGCGTAACTCCTGGAAAAAAAATTGAATCGTAATTTTCTGTCGATATGCACATCTACGTAGTATGTCCTTATTATCTGAAAAGGTTTCATGAAATTCTGTTGTGTGGTTTGAGAGGAGTTGCGATGACAAAAGCTTGCAGTAGTATATTGGGCAAATAAGTTCAAAGGGGCGTAACTCCTGCAAAAAAAAATTGAATCGTAATTTCCTGTCGATATGCACATCTACGTAGTATGTCCTTATTATCTGAAAAGGTTTCATGAAATTCTGTTGTGTGGTTTAAGAGGAGTTGCGATGACAAAAGGTTGCAGTAGTATAGTGGGCAAATAAGTTCAAAGGGGCGTAACTCCTGCAAAAAAAATTGAATCGTAATTTCCTGTCGATATGCACATCTACGTAGTATGTCATTATCTGAAAAGGTTTCATGAAATTCTGTTGTGTGGTTTGAGAGGAGTTGCGATGACAAAAGGTTGCAGTAGTATATTGGGCAAATAAGTTCAAAGGGGCGTAACTCCTGGAAAAAAATTGAATCGTAATTTCCTGTCGATATGCACATCTACGTAGTATGTCCTTATTATCTGAAAAGGTTTCATGAAATTCTGTTGTGTGGTTTGAGAGGAGTCGCGATGACAAACAGTTGCAGTAGTACATTAAAGTAAATAAGTTCAAAGGGACGTAACTCCTAGAAAAAGAATTGAATCGTAATTTCCTGTCGATATGCACAACTACATAGTATGTCCTTATTATCTAAAAAGGTTTCGTGAAATTCTGTTGTGTGGTTTGAGAGGAGTTGCGATGACAAGAAACAGGACTGACGGACGGACGGGTCAAAAACATTATACCCTCCGCAACTCGTTGCATGGGGTATAATAACTTTTCTTCCTCAACAACATTCACTATGATAGTGCCTAAGTAAATCAGAATAAGACATACATAAGAACAATTTAATACCCAATTTCAACTTATGGCTATTTTTCTTGTATTGAAAATTTATTTCACAGATTTTATTACCCATAGAACAGAAAAATGTTTATTTGGTTCTATCGGACAATGTATGTGAAGGCACTATACTCTTGAAGAGATAAAAATATGCCATTTGGCAATGAACTTACACAATGTATTTGTGTGTAAAGGTTCTGGTGTAAAAAAATCACTTACAACAATCTCATATATATTTACTCCAAATCTTGTTTGTTCAAAATATTGTTTCATGAAAAACGTAGAGATAAACAATACTATAGTATATGGTTAGAATACAATATCAATTTATCATATTTTCATATGGTATATTCAATGAAAGTTTTGCACATTCGTTTTTAATTTATTAAGATGTAATATCTAATTGTGATCTTTCCTCAGGCAAAGTTGAACTTGATAGATTTCGCTATTATCTTTAGGTCCTTTTGGTCATAAATCACTTTAACTGTTTCTATTATTATACATCCTCAGCTTGAGCGTTCTTGGTGAAGGTAAATCCAGATAGCGCTTCGGACGCATGAAATTCATAAAGTACTAGTGTTGTTTTCATTCTGTATTATCTTTATTTTCAATACTTCCTATTCTAATTTCAAACTTTTATCTATAAAAATATGGTAAACACTTTATTTATATAAAGGAGCATTTGTCTTGAATAAATCTACTTTAGTATTTCATTGTTAACATGGTTAATAGTCAACAATGCAGTGTCAGTTTTTAAACTGTCTTAATATTCTTTTTTTCTTTTAAACTTACCAATTTCGTCCTCCATATAGATTGCCTGGTTCTTCATCTTTTCCGCGAACTCTCTTTTCTTTCGTCTGATTGATGCCTCTAACTCAGCATCTGAGTCACCACCACCACCATTGTCATTCCCATCTACATTATCATCTTCATCATCCTCACTGTCTGTACCATAGCCTAGTCCTAAATGGGACATAGAAAACTATTGAATACAGACCATTCCTTACAGTTCCCAAAACTTTACTCAACTTATATTATAATAATTAATTAAGTACTAAATCTGAATATCAGTTCAATATTGAATATGAGTTATTTATAGAAAAGGAATTATCATGTGACCTTGCAGAAAAATGTACAAATTTCTTGAGCTAAGTCCTACTACAATAACAGCTGTTCCACATTTGAGTATGGAAGGATGGGAGGCACTTATTTTTAGACTCCAACTACCCATAATATAAAATTTTCATTTTACTCATAATTATTACAAAACTCGAAGGAAAATGCAACCACCAATATTTTATTAATTTGAGGGCCTCCCATCACCCACCTGATACATTTTGGAACAGCCCATATATGAATTTAACTTCTACTAGATATTTTTACTTAAACCATTGGAATTTTAGTGTTGAAAGAATTATATACAAAATATGCATTGTATTTTTAAGACATTATCCAAACTTGAAAAAGAATTCTGAAAATAAAAGTACTTATGCAATACAACAAACAAAAGTTTAGAGACTATAATGATTAAGAAAGTTTTAAAAAAGATCAGAATAAATTCCTAAAGCAGAAACATTTCCAACTAATTACAAAAGGGTGTTTGAAGAACACATACACTGTAAGACGATAGTCTGGGGTTTTATAAAAAAAAATCTGTAAAGGTAGCAATAAGGTAATATGTGATATAATCTTTTGTAATATCTAATGCAATGGAAATTTCTACCACTCAAATTAGAGAAAAAAGATTCAAGGGAGGACTTCACATGTTTAGAAAGAAAAATATACCTTCCTGCCTTAATTTTACTTAGCATAATACCAACTGTAACCATTTTTTTTAACATAACAAGAACAAATCTAAAATTAGAATATTACTTACCGAGACCAGTGATGGTGGCTAAAGCAGTGGACTTGGCAAGCTGCTTAGCTGGAGCTTTTATAATTATAGAGAAATATGATTAGTCTCCAAAGTAAAAGTGAAAGTAGAAAATCCCCTGAAAATCAAGGTAACTTTTTCTTCTCAAAAATGCTGTAATACAAATCTTGATTAATATATGGACATAGTTACAACACACATAATAAATTATGAATCATTATACACTTTTCATTTTTTACTTAGTATCAGTAGATATTGAACAATTTGCTATAAATGATACTGTTAACTTTATATGAACAAAATTTATCATTTTCATAAAACCCAGTTTGGAAATTATGGGTGAAAAAAAAATTGAGTCACTTACAACCCACTCGTTTTCCAGGAAAACGCATATCTGCCGGTCCTGTGTATTATTAAATACCTTCACTCTACTCAGGACTTGGTGCAACCGAGTTTTGTTCATTAATTTTTAATTTATCTAATTGAATAAAAGCAATATGAATTCAGAAATTTATTTTCTTCAGCATTTTCTTCGACTCGGGCAGAGTAAGGATCTACCAATTTCAAACCTGCTGCACAACTGTATTCTTTTGGCAAATTAAAAATTTAAAGCGGGTTTTATTTTCCAAGTATCCAGACAGAAATGACTCTGGGGTGCACTTTTTCAAAAGGGCGATAGGTATAAAAATATGCTCAAATTTACACATTAAAACGACATCAAAACAAACAAAAAAGCTCACAGAAAATACGTAAACTTCAAATGTTAACTCTGTAATAATAGGAACTGATCTCTAAACAAATCCTTTTTTGCACATCAGGCTTTGCGGTCAATGAAATTTCCAGTACGATTATCATATTCAGAATTCACCCAATCAAAATACTGGATTTGGTGTTTTGAGAACAAATTTTGTGCCCTGAGTACTGAGTCAAGTTTTATGACCAAGAGCCCTGGAATAATAAAACTTGAAGATTTTGTTTTTGCATCACGCTGATCTCTCAATTGTCATAGTAAAATGTCTCATCAGACTTGTGTGCAAAAAAGATAGTGCAGAATCAAATGTATTCACTGGTACCAATTTTGTAGTTTTCTTAGCCATGATGAAAATAAACTCTGCATGCAGATAAAAGTTACACATGTAATTATAAGAAGACATCCACAATCAGGTCAAATTGCACCCAGGATAAAGGTTTTGTTATTATAAACAATGAGTACCTTTAGCTGCTTTTGTTTTAGCTTTAGAGAACACTTCTCTAGCAATTTCCTGTATTTCACTGTTAGTCACATCTAATAATACTTCTGTTAATGTCTTTTTCACTTTGATCATCTGCAAAGAAAAATGATATCATAGAGTTAATTTCTTTTCCCATTTTTATCGTACATCCTTTATTACCATTATCCTAAATCATATGGGGCCTCACTGGCCTAGTTGTCTAGTACTGTGGATTCATTTATTTTCGTGGGTACCAATTTTCGTGGATTGAGGAAAACTTGCATTTTCCTGGATATTTGATTTCGTGATTTTGCCAATCTCTGCACACAAAGCCTATAGAAAATGTGTAATTCGTTGAACATTTGAATTCGTGGTTCATTCTACCCACGAAATCCACGAAAATTGGTTTTCAACGAATAATAATGAATCCACAGTAGTTAATCTACTGTATCACTAGCCTGTCCACACTGAGGTTGGGAGTTAGAACCCTGAACTTACCAGGTGCGCTCAACTCCAATCTTAATTCACTAGGATTGCCAGTTTTCCTTCCAAAGGTCGGTGGTTCTCTCTGGGCACTCGGCTCACTCCATCAATTAAAGCTGGCTGTCACAATATAGCCAATAGTGCCAAAAGTGGTGTTAAAACACCAACAATCAATCAATCTAGAATATTAATTGTCAGTGTGATCAACTTTGAGATATCAAGGCTTGAATTTGAGGAATTTGGTGTTGATGACAGGATGTTTTGATAGGTCTTTTGTTTTGATTCACATTATATTTAGACTGGAGAAGCCTGTCCATTGATATCTTGATGTTTTTAGGTTTTTTGTGTTGGCAGTTTGCCGTCTCATTCATTCATACATGGCCATTTTGTGAGTATTCAGTAAACAGGAAATTGATATGAGCGATAAATATGAAAATGCATTACAGGGCATAACATGTTAACATAAAGCAATCTGTAGTTCTCGTGAAAAATGTGACGGAAATTCCACCAGACAGACAGATAGGGGTTGACAGTATACACCCATTCTGTGGGAGCATGGCTATATTTACATTGTGTATTAATCACGCTTTTCTGTATAAAAAAATATCTTATAAAATGTATCGTAAAACAAATTTTCAATTCTGTTTTTGCTAAATTTAGAAACAATATTTTTTATACACTTTTTACATACAAGAAAAGCAAATTTTAAAACAGTAATTAAATATACAATGCTGTATTATTTTCAAAATGTATATTAAAGATGTACTTCTCAGCCATATTGTTAGTTGGATAGGCCAGAATATTTTTATTTATTGCTTTCTGCTTTCGTATTTCATTTTATGTATATGTGTATCTGCTTTTTAACTACTTATGCTACATGTGTATTTGCTTATTATGTACAACTTAGTATTCTATATGTGCTTTGAATGTGTTATATGTGTTACAGTCCCTCTGCACGTAATCTATTATTTGCATAAATGTTATAAATGTCAATTACAAAACTCAATGCAAATACGCTGTATTGTTATATTTATCTAGTTAACTTTAAATAAAGCCGACTTGATAATTGATTTAGGCTTAAATACCTCATTCTAATATGTGGTTTGGGCCTTTACATGTAGTTGAAAATTAAGGCATGATCTGAAGATGTTCTCTTTCTGGTGCTTTGGTCTTGCCTCATTGACAACATATCATTGATTGTTGGTTGCTTAATGTCCAGTGGCAAATTTTTCATGCATGTCCAGAACAACCTATATCAACTCTTTACTATCATATTTTTACATGGTGGCCAGATTTTTTGTTAAAGAAAACCAGAGTGCACTATCATCCATAGACATAACTTAAAAGCTGGATCACATACAGGTAGAAGATTTGAGTGCATCTTACAACTTTCGCAAAAGACAAAAGGCAGCCCTATCACCGACTTCATTATTTCATTTTTGTCAACAAAAATTGGATAACATAAATTTAAATGTTAAAACTTTCTTTTTAAATGTTACCTTCAGAAATATACTTTTTTTTCTACTCACGCTGTATGTTCTTTTTTTAACAATGTTTTTCCTGAAATTGGATGCACTTTTATGCACCTTTGACTTTCACCTGACTTAGGTCTATATAAATTTAAGTTAATTTTGAATTCAATATTTTAAAAAATTTCCCATTTACCATTTCCATTTGCTTTTCCTCCTCAGTTTTAAATTCATCTGGTGAAGGACTTCGTTTCTTTATAGGACTAGGCTCTGGTGACCTACTTTTACTTGGAGACCTAGATTTGTCACTGGCTTCATCATCTGAGTCCTAAAATGAATAAAATAAAACAGTAGAAATAAATTTATAAAGCCTTGTTAAATCTGTTTTCCTTAGTTAGGATTTTTTTCTTCTTCTAAAAGTGTTATTCTTAAGCTGGAACTTAAACTATGAAATTTTTTTATAAGAAAGGACTAACAGATGGCAGCACATCTTCACTTTGTCAGTATACATTGCTTCAATTCTACATAGGAAGCTTTGTATATACATGTGTGTTCCATAGCAGTATCGTACAAAAATGATTTCTTCCTCAAATTTTAAAATTGACATTTAAGCAACACTACTGTTTACGATCTTGTGTCACATTTGATTAAAATTAGGGATTTTTAAATTAACAGTGGTCTCGTTAGCCCAAAATAGAAGGGGGCTGCACCCTTGGTGCCCTTATCCGAGCTCCTCTGCCCCCTAAACCCTATTCACTTGTGCCTTTTGGCAATGTACCATAAAAATTGAGAAGTACCCTTTCCCCAACCTCAAAAAGTACTCTGTCCCTTTCATTTTCATACTGGAGCACAGGTTAACATATCAATTACTGATATTTATATGTAAATCATCTTTCTCTAATTCGTGATGATTAATGTAATTGGCATATCTCCCTTTATAGTGTTAATGAGGATTACATACTAAACAATATTTTATGGATATCAGCAATACAAGAATACACATTTCAATCACACAGCTCTGATTCAACATTTCTTTCCAAATGTGGTTTGGATCACATTCTAATCTTGACAAAACAATTTTAATATTTTATACAAATGATGGATTCTCAAATGTTATTTACAAGTCGAGTTAGATAAACTTACAAATCGACTTTTCTTGGGCAATGTAGGTTCTGAGTCGTTACCCTCTTTTTGAGCCATGATGGCTTCCTTTGCTGCTTTCTCTCTTTCTTCCTTCAGTCTCTCTTCTTCTTGCATTTCCAAATCCATTTTTTCCTTGTGTAGCTTTCTCTGTTTTTCGTTCTCCATTTTTTCTAATCCCTCTCTTATCCAAGCTGGTAAAGATTTTCTTTTGGCTGCATCTATTTGTCAATTTACAATTTACATAAAGTTAATATTGTCATGTCTGGACCAAATGAATACCTTTCATTTCTATTCTCAAGCTAATTAAATCAAGATTTGGATACACAAACATATATATACATGTATGTATATATATATATATGAATAAAAGTTCTGATTTGTGGTGAATCTTTTGTCTAGTTCTGATTTGTGGTGAATATTTTGTCTAGTTCTGATTTGTGGTGAATCTTTTGTCTAGTTCTAATTTGTGGTTTTGGCAAATCTTTTGTCTAGTACTGCTTTGTGGTGACTATTTTGTCTTTACTGTTTTTTCCGTTACTTTGTATACTTTTACATTTTGTTGTAGTTATGTCATAAGTGATAATAAATTTTGTTTTATTATGATTTTTTGTTAGTAATATATTTTGGCCATTTCCTCAATGTTTGATGGAAATTTCCCACATCAGCAGACTTTTATATATAAATAAACCAGTGTGGGGGGAAAGGGGGGGGGGGGGGGGGGGGGGGATTTTTTAAGGATTTGACATGTGCAAAAGTATTTGCCACTTTCAAAACAAATGAAACTGCAAACTCCTGCTCACTGATGATACCCCCACCGCAACTAGATAATTTTAATAGTGTAAAAATATGTAAGTGTTCGGTAAACAGGAAGTTGTTGAGTGATGAATCTGAAAACGCATCACACTGTAAAGCTGACTTATATAAACCCTGAAACCAAATTTCTGAAATCCTTATGATGTAGTTCCTGAGAAAGATGCGAAGAAAAATATTCAGGGGACGGACCGACGGACAGACAGACAGAGGTAAACAGCATACCCCCACTTTTTTAAAGCGGGGGGTATAACAAATATAAACAAACCAATTCCAGAATCATCAGATGGATTACTGTCTTCATTGTGTCTAAACCTCTCCCTATCTCGTCTGTTATTACGATCCCTACGTGGGCGGTGATAGTGATGATTTTCTTGTTCTTCATTATTCCAGTACTGGTTATTGTATTCTCCTTGATCGCCCTATAAAAATAAATGATATCTATAACCTATTCATACCCTATTTTTATTTGATTTTGGTAATTACTCAAAATGTTTTTAGTTTTTGTTCTTTTTTATTTTACTCTCTAATTCTGTGCCAATTTATGCAAATGTTTTCCAAACCTGTACAACCAATTATATATATAAAATATATTTATAGGTATGAACGCCTGTGTGTCTATGTTTATCAAATTATTTCTTTAGCATGCATTTTTTCTTATATTTCAGTTTTTCATAAACACATTTGCATTTGTTTTAATTACTTCTTTGGTTTAAATTCAATGATGTCGTCAAATTTATTATCTGGTAACAGAGTTTGCCTTTACACCTGCATGAAACTAGAAGTTTGAGTGAACTAAACCAAATGATACCCCAAACCCTGTGATAGTATTACTATATTATTATCTCCCCTTTATCATGTAGGATAAAGGGGAGATAATAATATACTAATACTATCTTCCAATATGCATATCCTCATGTAGTGTTCCATAAAAGTGTCAAGTTTTCTGAATAATCATCTATCTGTTTAGGAGGGGTTAGGCTAATAAGAGACCTTTACCACATATTGCAACATTGAAACAAAGTAAGTTTGATTATCTCCCCTTAAAAATGTAGAATCTTTATGTACATCCTTGGGTAGTACTCTAAATTTGAGATAAGTTTCATTAATATCTGTGAAGCTGTTTTGGAAGAATTGTGCTTACAAGGCACATGGACAGACAAACAGACTGACAGACAAAACGATTGCCATGTGTGATGATGTCACTTGAAATAACCAACATTTTATATTCCAAGTAAACATTTTTTTTTAACTGCATGCATGACATCTTCAAATCATTAGAAAATATGAGATACTTCGATCCTTAATAACATTTTTTTTTAACCCTGAATAGATGCAGTTATGTAGTTTTTTAAAGGGCTTGAAACAATCAAAGGAAACATTTTGTGCATCAAAGGGTCTGTAAAATGTAATAGCTCCCATCAGAATAACAAATATTTCTGTAAAAACCCTAGAAATATTTGACAAAATTCAGCTTTGAACAGTGAAATTGATGGTATTGTTTTTGTTTGTGATGTCAAAAGTAATCAACATACATGTATTTGACAAGAAATGGCCCAATATCTTTATGTGTACTACTGTTTATCATTGTAATACAGTTTGAGGGTCTATAACAGCTATGAAATGAACATATCACCAAAACATCAAATAAATGCACAAATGAAAGGCTAACCTGATAATGCATCTGTTCTCCATTATTATCTGACTGAAATACCTGATCATAAAATTGTCCACCATGATTGTATTCAAATTGCTCTCCAAAGTTACCATGACTATACTCAAATGTACCTTCATCCTAGAGAATAAATTTTATCAATTCAAAATACATATCCTTTCTGTGTGCTGTGGTAACCCATACAAAATATCTTACTAAATTAAAGATTCAAGTATTCATAAGTATTTTGATTCCTCAACTTCTTCATACAGTACCAAAAACGATAAATTTGTATAATATAGTAGCAGCAAGAACTTAAGGATGTACTTAGGTCAGGTTTAGGAATTTGTGTCAGATGTTCGGACTCCTTGGTTTTTTTCCTACGATACAGGGTAAAATATTTAGCTCCATAACACCCATTTTTCTTTTCAAAGAAGACTTCAATAGCTCATAAAAGGTCATTTACAAAAATTTAAGCAGATTCTAGATTTCTATTCTTTCGATTTGAGACCCAAATAATACCAATGCAAATGCAGCCTTTTCCCGCAATTTTCTAAAAATTAATTATCTCGAAAAGGAGCTCCATAACCTATCAATAATTTTAGCTTATCTTGCTTCTTAACTAATGCTCTTCTGACTTATAGTATCAATTTTAAATTCTAGATTTTTTTTATTTCACCTAAGTACATCCTTAAGGATAGGGAGAAATTACTTTTATTATAGTTTTTTAGTTGACGTAATTTGAGTTAGTTATTTCCTTTGCCTCCAAGTTGGATGTCAACTGATAACTGAAATCTATGCTGATAGCTAAATTTTAGACAAAGTTGTTTTCTTAACAATTTAGTTTTTTCAAGCCTTTTAAATTCACCACATTGAACAACTAAGGATCTCTTATACATTAGACTATTATCAAAACTTGTCGTGTTGGAACCTTTTATAGCTGACAATACAGTAAAGATTTTGCTCATTGTTGAAGGCTATACCGAGACTTATAAGTGATTAAATCCATATCATTTGGAGTCTTGTGGATAGTCATCTCATTGGCAATCATACCAAATCTCCTTTTTTATAAAAAAAAAAATGTACAAAAGGTTTTTCTAGATAGCCAGGTAATCCAGCCGATCTCAACCAGATTTCTTTCATTAAGACAGATGTTACCTTGTTTTCTCCACCCTGCACACTCCAGCCTTGTGCATTCCATTGTGTGTTCCAGTTCCATCCAGTTTGACCTGGGTATGCTTAAAAATAAAAATAATAGTATTGATAAATAATACAAAACCTCCAAACAATGATGCATAAATATTACAATTTATATATATATATATATATATATATATCAAAATTATTAAAATTTGCATCATTTAATGTTGAATCCATAAATATTTATATGATTTGGAGTTTAGTGTGACATCCATTTTCATTAAACTAGTACACATTTTTGTTTAGGGGCTAGCTGAAGCCCGCCTCCGGTTGCAGGATTTTCTCACTGTGTTGAAGACCCATTGGAGGCCTTCGGCTGTTTTCTACTCTTTGGTTGGGTTGTATGTCTCTTTGACACATTCTCCATTTCCATTCTCAATTTTATGTACTGAAATAAGCCTTAAAAGATATTGCACATAGCCATATAACAGTAAATTCAGTAAAAGTACACAAATCTAAACATTTGACTTAAACATGTTGAATACACAACCCTTGCTAAAAAATCAACAACAGGCTGTCATTTTTTTGGAACCAGGTTCTGGTATTAATTAATAAATCTGCTTAGATATGGAATGGCTTAAAAAGCTACAAAAATGTACATAATTAGATTTTCTATTTGAAGCAATAGATATGATTTTAGTGTTCTGGAATAAGATTTTGCTTGAGGTAGTTGGTTTATGAAATAAATTAATTAGTATTGCAATGATCTGCTTTCATATAACAGTACATTGCAGGATATAAGAATTGTATTGTGACAACAAAATCTGCTTACAATACAATCCTATGTCCACGCTTTGCTTAGAAGAATCTGACAACAGTCTGTTCTGGTAATTATTGCATCAGCCAATAAAATTTAAGTCATCATATTTTTTAAGGTGTTTCATAACAATAAAACCAGATAGTTCTGAAAGGATTTTAAAACATAATGTAGAACGAGCATTGTCAGAGCTTTGCAAGCAAAGCGTGGACGCAGGGTCTGTATTTCAATGAGATTGGTGATAACACTTATAAAAATCTACAAACTAACTTTTGAAAATGACTACTTTTGTTTACACAACAGTCAAAATAATCAAGCTAAGATACATACTGTATGTAGGTTCAGTGTTTCCTCCAGAATACATGCTATTGCTATTAGAATCTTGAGAGGTCTCCCCTTCATTCACCACCTCCATGTCATCATTTTGAGGCATGGGAGGTGGGGGAGGAGGGGGTTGTGCCAGGTCAACACCTCCATGATTTGGTTGGCTGCTGTCAGCTGTTTCTTTATGTTGTATCCACTGTTTTGCCAATTGTGCCCAATCAACTGTCAAAAAAAAAAATCATTATTTCAATTCAAGTTTCAACTGTTTAAACAGAGTATGCTATTATAATCAGTCAAAACCATTTACTTGAATATAAGAAATATTATTTTGATTAAGTGCCAATCTGCCTAAGAATCAGGCAGTGGTGAAAGCATGACAAAAAAAACCGACTCCATGTTTACATTAATTTAAGTTCATTATGTATAATGGTGCACAAATATAACCTTCTTTTCCTTTTTCTTTTCTGGTATTTCAAGACATGATTTGGTTGAAATGCACTAAAAATTACCAATTAAGGGGACCTTACTCTGTAATTTGCTGTCATTCCAACCAAAATTTATATCTAGGGATTTCTCAAATTACCAGACACACACAAATGAAAGACTTACCATTTCTAACTCGGGATGAGGGTAACTTCATTTTTTAAAAGAATAACATAAAATAAATTGCTTCGCTGAGCGCAGCTGGATACAACTGCAGATGTCCAACCCTGAAAAGTTGGGGCCAAAATGGACACAATATACATGCTTGATACAGGTCTGAATTCGGATTGGAATTAAATTTTTGACACATAGGTTTCTGACACAGAATAACTGTAGTCAAAAAACTTCAAATTGGTTATTTGATTTGAATTTATATTCAATTTTTTGCTTTTGTGCAATACACTATGTTAATTGACCACCCCCCCCAACCCCCAACCCCCCCCAAAAAAAAAAATTGTACCCGTTTTTTTTTGCATTTGTGCAATACACTATGCTGCTGAATATTAACCCCCCCAAAAAAAATATTTGAAGAAATTTTCTTTTAATTTCTGACATGAGAAAAATTGTCCCCCTCCAATTTTTTTTTCACCTCCCCCTTTCCCTTATTCCAAAAAATAATTCTTTCCCTCAGTTATTGTCAGTATTTCAGACAATCATCATTTCTTAATACATTAGTTACAAGCAGTGTAAGGGAGGTAATCAAACATTGTTATTCAAATTGATTTGGATTACCTCCCTTACACTGCTTTTAAATTGTCTCAATTGTCCTTTAACCAGAAAAACCCTTGTTTTTACCCTTTTTATGCCCCTTAATGGCTTATTCCTAAATGGTTTGAGCCATAACCCCCCAAAGTCAATCCTAATCATCCCTTTGTAGTATGGAAACTTGTGGTATAATTTCAGAGAGATTCATACACTTTAACACAAGTTATTGTCTGGAAACTACAAAAATGCTTATTTGGGCCCCTAATTCCTAAACAGTTGGGACCATAACCCCCAAAATCTATCCCAACCTTCCTTTAGTAGTTATAAACCTTGTGTTAAAATTTTATTGATTTCTATTAACTTATACTAAAGTTATTATCCAGAAACCATCTGTCTTCGGACAACACTGACAAAGACGACGACAACGTGATACCAATATACAACCAAAATTTTTTTAATTTTTGCTGTCGTATAAAAAAGAAGAAGAAAAATGACAGTGTTCATAACGTTATTTCTACGTTATTGATGTTGCATAGGAAAAAACTTTTTATAGGTACAGGTTCGCTGTTCAAAATCTTATATTAACCTCTCATAATTTTTCTTTGCGGTGAACAAAACCTTTTATCAATGAAGATTCCCTATGTTTTAGCCAATATGAAAAGAGAATTTTTAGTCATATAATAATAGTTCATGTCAAATATTCAATACACAAAGCAATAACATGATTTCAATATAAAAAAAATTTTCAGTGTATATACATGTATATGTGAATAAAATTTCAAAAATGTACATGTACAAATGTATCTAAGAGGATTGATTGATTGTATCCAAGATGAAATTGAGCTAAAAAATTATAAAAGTTTGATCATGATTATCTGCATGAAAAATATTTCGATGTCAATTTTTTCTCAAACAGATTTAAGCTTTACAAATCATGCAATTTATTTTATTAGTTTTTCATTTATCACATTTATTGTTTTGTACATAAACACAAATCGGATCTTTAGTTTTGTTTGAATTGTTTTACAATTGTCCTTTCAGGCCTTTTATAGCTTACTATGTGGTATGGGTTTTGCTCATGTTGAAGGCTGTGCGCTTAACTATAGTTACTTTTATGTTATTTCATCTCTGATGGAGTTGTCTCATTGGCAATCATGCCACACCTTCTTATTTTTACAGTTAGCATGGTTAGGTTACAAAGTTAAATACAGTATATATTGAGGTATAGAACCACAAATCCTGGTCTGAAAGAACATACAAGAAAGTAGTACATATTTAAACAAAATAGTTCCTATGCATGGCTGTAACTTTGTCAATTATTATGAACAAGTAAAATATTTTGATATACTTGGCATGAAATGAAAGCTTCAGCCGTTAAGGACTTGGAATCATTGTAGACCCTTGTTGAAAAGTTTCCTATTATTAATAATATATATATGAAATCAAAATAGCAGTTCATATTTGCCCTGTTGTTCAGATCAGAAGTACCTGTTTTTGAACTACCTAACTTCTGGGAACCAGTGCCATCTAATATGCATTTAAAGGTATGTTGAATTTTTCAGCACAATTCAGGGTAAGGTAAAGTTTTGACATGAAATGACGGTCACTTTATTTGAACTTCAGACAAAATAGCCATGAAGGCTTGAAATTGAAGAAGTATTTAACATAGAAAGCAATGGAGCTATGAATTAGTGGTTTTATTCCTTAATAGATACTGCTTTGATAACTAAAAGAAGCTTACCTTGTCCATGAGGCATGCCTTGAATAGCAGACTGCTGCATCATGGGGTTCATACCCCCTGGAAATGGATTGGCCCACATTATGTCTCCAGAAAATTTATGATATCTGAAAGAGAAAAAACAAGAATGTGTCCATAGTGGGACAGACGGACGAACGAACGCAGACCGAAAAACATAATGCCCTTAGGTGGGGCATAAAAATGGTGAAAGTTACAACATCTCATGAAGGTTACATTTTCATCCATTGAGATCCCTGCTTAGGTAATAACTGTTTGTTATTATTATATAAACACTTCTTCAACATCAACATGATCAACAGCCTACTGTTTCTTTATCATTTTTATGTCTGATTCTGCAGTGCTTCATCAATTTTGATTCTTAAATTTGTTTGATTTCAATCTGCTTGTTCCTTTAATTGTTGTTGAGAAACACATCTATTTTAGTCATACTATATTAATAAAAGAAGAATGTATCCATGGGACACAGATTGCCCCTGCTTGTAAATATACATCAATTTTTCCATTTATAAAGGGACATAACTCAAGAACAGTAAAAGTGATGCTAGCATATTTAAACTTGATCTGTATGTGGCAGTATTAAGCATTGTGAATAAATTTCAGAACATTTGGTTGTGGCAAGGCATAGTTAAGGTGTGGAAACCTTAAAAATTTCCCAATTTTTCCATTTATAAAGTGACATAACTTGAGAACAACAAAAGTAACACCCCCAATATTCAAAATTGATCTGTGTTTGGTTGTAATAAGCATTGTGTATAAGTTTCATAACATTTAGTAGAGGGAAACTAGTTAGAGAAGGAAAACTAATTTTGGGACGTACAGACAGACTAACACATGATACAAGGGTTAAACTATTTGCCCCCTCCACCCCGATATTAGAGTTATCTGTTCTTGTTTTTAATAACGTCATGACGAGAATCAAATTGCTGAATGAAATAGACAGAGACGTATACAAAAGGAAATAATTAGATAAGTGTCAAGGAAATAAAAATTCAAACATAATGATAATAGGTACATTGTATCCTAGAAAATATCCAACAAACGAACCTTAAACATTGACAAGCTATACACAGGCGATAAACAATAAACATTTTGGAAAATAAGTGTGACCTGAACCTGGGTTGCAATTCCAAATGTTTTGAAATAGGAAAAATCTGTAGCTTTATGGTCCGCAAATAGTCAAAAATACCACCATGTTCTAAGAGCTAAGGTCCCATGCTAGGGGTCATGAAACATAAGCTCTATTGAACTTTTAAATATTTAACAAGACCAAATTTGGCGAACCAACAGGTATTCATGTACAATGATGCTGTTCATTTGTAGGCATAAATGCTCAGGTTAAGGGTAGGTAATTAGTTAAAAAAATTCCCAAATACAGTTAAATAGTTGCTTGATAAGGGTTCTGTCGGTGCCAAATCAGAAAATTTGCTCCAGACTAGAAGTTCCCAACACGGATATGGTGTTTGAATCTACATATGTCTTTGGTACTCTGCATTTTTTAAAAAGCATGAAAGAGTATTGAGCAAAACTATCCTTTTACAACAAATTTACGATTGTGATGATGGTACGGCATGATACAGGTTATATTCTTCTCATATATTTTATGATGGTATGATACTTAACCCCGAACGGGAGGGACAGTGCTTGATTATCATATGATGAAGACATAATCTTTCAATCAGTTTAATTGTGTTCTGGAGCTGGCATGTCAGTTACTGCTAGTAGTCCAAATGTTAATTTATTTATCATTGCCATTTTGCTTAGTTTCTTCTGTTACCTATTCGGACATCTTCTTTTAAACAGAGTTTTACTGTGTGTTTGTTTATTCGACATCGGCTAGATATATAGGGGAGGGTTGAAATCTCACAAAACATGTTTAACCCTGCCACATTTTTTTGCCTGTCCCAAGTCAGGAGACTCTTTCCTTTGTTAGTCTTGTATCTTTTTTGAATTTTAGTTCATTTAAATGTTTCAGAGTTTAGTGTGACATCCATTTTCACTGAACTAATACACATTTTTGTTTAGGGGGAAGCTGAAGTCCATCTCTGGGCGCAGGATTTTTTCTCTGTGTTCAAGACCTATTGGTGACCTTGGGCTGTTTTCTGACTTTTGGTTGGGTTGTTGTCTCTTTGACACATTCCCCATTTCCATTCTCAATTTTATGGTGAATCATGCGACTTTTTTCATCACAGGCACGTTTCTATCCATGGGAAGATCCACTATCAACGTATATTTAGGAGAAGATCCACTGTCAGCGTATATTTAGGAGCTAAATATACGTTGATAGTGGATCTTCCCATGGATAGAAACAAGTGCCTGTTTTTTTCGTGCTAAGGACAAGTAAGGTCTGAGCCGGACTGAGGAGCAAACAAATCTAAATGTAAACAGTACAATTCCAACATTTTTTTACCTTAGCTAATAATAACTTGATGACGGATAGTACCTATTAATATATTGCATACATTATGAAGTCAAATTAAAGCTTAATACATTGAGGAAAGTCTTTCATTAACGCATGTAATTTTCCGCCGCCATGTTCTGCATTGATATTTTATGGTCTGTAAATCAACCAATCAAATTTTAGATTTAGAATAAATCTTTTAACGGAAAAGACATGTATTTTATTCCGCTATTTTAGTTCAATGCTGACTTTTTAGCATACATACGATTAAATACTGGTGTCTAAATTTTTTATTTATTGCATCATCAGCAATAAATAATACTGGTCTTAAATTACTATTTTTTCTTAATACGCGCTAAACAATTATTTGTGATATCTGCGATAAAATATATAAATATTTTGATGAACACTATAATACACACCGACTGGTTTTCTGTCTAAATTTCAACAATGAGCTCACCTTGACTCTCCCTTTTAGAAAAAATGACATCTCTGAGATTATGCCACAAATGTTATACTGTCCTAAGTAATACTAGAACAAAGCAATATCAGCTGATTAAGACATGTGGAAAAGTTTTGCAAAATAATCCCAGAAAATGCCAGTTAGTATGCACCTTAAACATTAAAATAAGTCAAAAGTTACTGATTATATATTAAAATAGTAAAGATTTTAATAGAGTGAATACTAAGATCTTCACATCACAATGACCTATGACGCCTTTTTAACTGGGGTAGTTTATTGTCTTGCCTGCGAAAAGTCGCATTATGCGAGACATAAGGATTACTATTCGGCAACAGTGATGTAAACTATTAAGTATTTGTATAAATATAAAGCTTTATAAATAAGTCTAAATTGAAAACAACGTTCAAACCTATGAAGGGTTGGATAAAAACCGCAATTTTTATACGTGTGCATGCAAAACAAATTTCTTGGTAGAAGGGTCTAAACTACAGCACAAACAACATTTTCCAAAAGACCAAAAAAGTGAAAAAGTATATTTTTACAAAACGCATTTGACTAGCAGGTCGAACAACGGATGTTCTTAACATGTTTAAACTATGTATGCGGATACCTTATGTTACGAAGTTTCCGTCTGTCATAATTTCCATTGTCCTTGACCTCATTTTGATGGTTCAGTGACTGCTGGAAAAAAATTGGATTTTTTTGTCAAGTGAATTGAATGAGTAATCGGGTAACTATTATTTTGGTATATATGGGTTCCTTGCAACATCTACATGTCTGTCAGACAGGGTTTACTGACCTTGACCTCATTTCATGGATCAGTGATCAAGGTTAAAGTTACTAATTAGGTCCGTTTCTCAGATACTATAAGCAGTAGGTCAACTATATGACCTTGACCTTATCTTCCTGGTCATTGGTCAATATTAAGTTTTTGTGTTTTGGTCTGTTTTTCAAGTACTTTAAGCAGTAGGTCAACTATATTTGGTGTATGGAATGATTGTAAGGTGTACATGTCTGTCTGTCGGGATTTAATGGACCTTGACCTCATTGTCATGGATCTTTGAAAATGTTAAGTTTATGCTGGGACTATTATACTAGCATGACTAGTATAATAGTCCCAGGTTTATGTGATACTTATAGTAAAAACCTTTATCTTTAAGAATTTCAACATTAAATCAATGGTCAGTAAAGCAGGTAGGACATTTCAGCGTGTGCACTCTTGTTCATAAAAGCGAAATTGGAAACTCATCTAGGGGGTGGGGGCCCTCTCATCTATTGATTCTAATGGGTGTAGTGTTCTTTTCAGTCAAAGCTATTTATATGCACTATCCAAGGCAATGCAGCAAAACTAGTGTTATTCTTTCCTACTTCAACAAAGGTAACAGGTCATTACACCCCAATTCAAAATCACATATGGTTGTTTAGGGCTGGGTAGATTCGCCTGAAAAGTTATTAGTTTTTGCCCTAGTTTGTAACATATATACTAAATTACATTTGTTCTTTTTTCTCAAAATATATAATTACTTAAAGTTGAAATATATTCAGTTTTTTGGTTTAAAACAGGTGAATTTTGTTGTAAAAACATAATGTTTAAATGAAGTTTTAAAATAATTAAAGTTCAGACTTAATTAAGTTATTAAGGTCATTGTTAGTACATTAAGAACTACAAGACTAAGTCAAAATTGCCAAATCATCAATTGACCCCTTTTAGGAGTTATTGTCTTGAAAACAAGTTTTACTCATCTTTTTGTGTTATTTGCAGAAACTACAATCAATACAAGGAAGTTGTAGATATCATAAATGTTCAGAAAACAAAATGTTCTACTTATAAGTCAATATTGCCAAAAGGGTCAATTGGTTCCCATTAGGAGTTATTGACCTTGGAGGAATCATATATATGATTTTAACCTATTTTTTTGCATTGCTTATAATTGAATCTACAGCAGATTTAGAGATTCTTCAATTTAGTTCAAATGATAAAAATGTTCAGCAAAATAAGATCTACAAATAAGTCAACATGGTGGAAATAGTCAACTGACCCCTTATAGGACCTATTGCCCTTTAAAGACAATTGTTTCCCTTATTTTATCAAAACTCTCAGTATCTGATAGAGAGAAATAGTAACCAGCAAAATATTCAACATAATATGATCTACAAATAAATTTTCACCAGACTCCTTATGGGAGTTTTAATCTTTAAAATGATTATGGATATTTACAGAAACATGATTGTAGCTATTAATCAACATTTATATTTGTTTCTTGTGTAATTGAGACAGCCAAAACATAACGGGAACCTTGGGGTGATATCATCAGCTTTCAATTCAGTCATTGTTGAAGCATATTCATCTAAGATCTTTTCTTTATTAGAAGGTTCATGTACATGTATGATAGTATTTGCATTTGTTATCTCAGCTTTGATCATTTCCATATATTCTAATAGTACTTATGCTGAACACCAACAACATTGTTGGCTGCTTTGTCAGCAGGTGCAAAGTAAAAATATTATTGTTTCCTGCCTCCTGGAAGAAAAGGTAGGGTAGGTAAGAAAAGTTTAAGTAGATTTTTCAACAAAATGTGATAGATAAAATAGAAATGAGCATAATAACTTATGTTTCAGTAATTTGTACGACAAAAATCCTTTATAACCAAGACATCCTGATCAATATGATCAAAGGCATAAAAGGGGTATTACTTAGCTAGAGAGCAATACAGTACCTGGCTTCTTAGGGTCCATGTTTTATAACTTTATGGAAAACAGTGAACTCAAAAGTTGTTGTTTCCTATAGGTGTACATGAAAATAGTCATTATGCAAAAATATACACTGTTCTTTGCAATTTTAAGAACATAAATTTTACCTCAATTGATATCTTTTTTTTTCTTTTAGAAATTCTATTGCTACACAGTCTTTGAGATTCAACAGCACATCAACTGCAGACAATCCAAATGTGAATACTACAATAGACCAAGACGAACATCATAAGTTTACAAAGCTAGCATCTCATTGGTGGGATGAGAAAGGAGAATTTTATGCCCTTCATACCATGAACAGATTGAGGATTCCTTTGATACGTGATGCTTTTGTCGATGTTACAGATAAAGGATCAAAGATATTTCCGTTGAAAGATATATTAATTCTAGATGTTGGAAGTGGAGGTGGAATTCTTACAGAGGTAGGTAAAAAGTAAAAATAGTTGGACAGGAGTTATGGGCAGGAAAAATTATTACTGAGGATTCATTATTGTTCATTGGGCATGTTGATTACCAATTTTCATGGATTTTGTGGATATAGATGAACCACAAAGTATAAATTTTCAAAGGATTGTAAACAAGCTTTGGCAAAGCCATGAAATCAAGTATGAATGAAAATATAATTTTTCTTCAATCCACAAAAACAGATGAATCCACAGTATATAGGTATACTGTCTTAAATTTTAAGAGTCAGAAGCACATTGTAAAACAACGAAATAACCTTTCATGTTTGTCTCATGAATGTTGAAGAGGATTATTTGAGTACCGTCATCATCAAATTTTGTATGAATGGCTACAGTTAGTTCCTAAATAGTAAGTTAACTGCTGTGTAGTCATATTTATAATGCTTCTTGGAGAATTTGGCCATATATATGCTTTAATATGAAGATCATATAATGCTTCTTGGAAAATTTGACCATATGCTTTAACATGATGGTCATACTTTATCAAGTGCTTATATTTTTCACATATAAGCAAATGATCATATGAAGTGGGCATATAGGTTTACCATTCGGCATTGTCCATCTGTACATATGTACATCTGTCCCTTGGTTCGTCTGTATATTCCAAAATTGGTTCCCGTTCTTTAACTTGAGTTTGCCTCTACCAAATGTTATGAAACTTATACACAATGCTTATTACCACCAAACACAGATAAAGATTGAATTTTGGTGGCATCGTTTTCACTGTTGTTGAGTTATGTCCCTTTGTAAATGGAAAAATTGCTGAATTTACCGTATATTTACAAGCAGGTGCATCTGTGTCCCATGGACATGATAGATACATTATTCCTTTATTTTTATAACGACACAAATTTGTCTTTAAGTTGTGAAAAGACACTTAAAGACCGGGGATGACCTAGAAAATTTTACACCCCTACAGCAATTAAGCCTATTTGGATATGGGCGGTCTTAAGATAGATAAGAAATGGATCAAACAGCTGATGATGATAATGTAAACAATAACACATGTTGAAATGGAAGGACATGTATGTAAATAAAATAACTTACTATAATTTAATTTTGGATGTAACGCGTCTTCTGATTGGCTTACGTTGTTTTGTTTATCAGCTCATAGACATAATTTTGTCATGTGACCGTGACGTCATCAACGTTTTTTCATGGTTTACTCCAGTTTAAAATGGAATTTTAAATTAAATTATAAGAAATGACTGTAATATTTTTTCTGTCTATTCGAAATAACATAAAAAATGTGGTGCACACTTTAAAATAACCCGCTACGCGTGTTATTCAGTGTGCACCACATTTTTGATGTTATTTCTTCATAGACAGAAAAAATATTACAGTCATTCCTTAAGTACACATATTTTACATGATAAATATCCAGATTAAATATAGAGAATGAAAAATAACAATTAAATAAAATTAATCCACTTTCTTAATTTTTTTGTCGTAATTCCAAATTTTTATGTAGAATTTAATAGTTTTGAAAAGTGTCTTGTCTATCAAAAATGTGGTCACAGATAAATGGAGTTTATTTGTCTTTTCCATATTTGCCACAATTGCCAAGTCATAAGTTTTACAATTAATAATCCTTTATTTACCTAGTTTTGTTTTAAATCCAGACCTCATAAAACATCTTATTCTCAAAAATACTGAACATGCTGAAAAAGTGAATACATGGTTCATCTGTGAAATTGAAACTTATACTGATAGAGATTTTATATAATTCTTGTGGTGTAAAATACACTTATCAGTGATCATTCTGTGGATTTCTTGATACTTGACTAGGATAATAATACTTATTCCCATGTTGATTGGTAAGTGGATTATCAGTAAATTAGTGCATGAAGTATAATCTAGACATGAATTTATTCACATGTTGCACACTACTTCCTGTGTAAATATAAACAAGAAACTGTTGCCATGGGTATCTCCTCCCCATCTGTCAATCACAAGATTTGAATTTGAAAATACTTGTACCTCAGAATTTCATTTTAAAATGTTTTAATTATCAATTGGAATTTTTTCAAACTATTTGGCTCTAAATAATTCTTGTTTATGTTCCCACCTCTGTACATTTTTTATAGTAAAAAAAGTAAGTAATGAATAAGAAATATTAAAAAATGTTCCACAGACCTAAACCCTGCCTTAAATTTGAATATATCCATATTTTCATAGATTGTCTCCCTTTTATACCCTAGCCCCGGTCTTTAAGATCATTACCAATGATATAGCTGTATGTGTAGAATGTAGACAATAACATAAGGAATACAATGGTTTACTGGGTAATTGGTGTTTTTCTCTTGTACAGTGCATCAGACTCACTATGTATCTTCATTATTCTTGGATAAATTCAACACAGATATATTCTTTGACTTGTGTCCTCATTACTGAAGGCAAGATTAAACATTTTTTGACATATTGTGGATTCTTTTATTTTCATTGGTACCATTGTCACTTTCGAAAATTGGGCAAAAATGGTATTGTCTTTGAAATTTGAATTGTGGTTTTGCAAAAGTTTGTATACAAGCCTATAGAAACTTGTTACTTCATTGAAAATTTGAATTTGTGGTTTCCATATACCCATGAAATCAAAGAAAATTTGTATTGATTGATTTATGTTTAACGCCACTTTCAACACTATTGTGCTATTTCGTGGTGGTAAGTTTTTATTGGTGGAGGAAGCCAGAGTGCCCGGAGAGAACCACCCTAGAAAATCTGTATCACATGAATAATAATGAATCCACAATATAACAAAATAACCTTTTTTATCTAGCCTTTAGCAAGATTAGGAGCTACAGTAACTGGTATAGACATGGTCGAAGAGAACATACGAATAGCTCAGACACATATTTCTCAAGATCCAGAAATAGCAGGACGTGTAAATTATATTCATGGTGCCGTAGAAGATTTGACGGAGGAAGGGAAGTTTGATGCTGTAGTGGCCTCTGAAGTGGTAGAACACGTATCTGATGTTGACATGTTTATCTCATCATGTTGTAAACTCATAAAGGTGAGGGAAAAGTGTTTAGTACATGATGGTACATCAGTCTGTACCGTTCGCCACTAGTCTGATGCCCCAGACTTGTAAATATTGATTCGGACTAGTGAAAATTTTCAAAATTTTATGTAGTCATATAGGAACAAGTTTTGATATTTAGTTTCCGGACTAGTAGATGAAAAAGTTTTTGGCGCAGACTGGTACATCTCAAAATGTGTGATTTTTATGCTGCTCTAATAGCCAATATAACCAAACTGTCGATTCATTTTTATTGGTGGGATATTAATTTTTGTGGATTTAGGTGGTTTAGAGATTAAATGTTCAATGAAGTACAAATTTACAATAGGTTTGTATGCAGATTTGGCAAAACCACGAAATCAGATATCCACTAAACTACAATTTTTCTTCTACCCACAAAAATTGGTACCCACGAAAAAAAATGAATCTACAGTACATTTCAGCTTCTTGGACGTGCAATCTGCAATGAGAGATCTCTTGCATTGCAACTTTTCTTGTTATGTGTTAAAATAGATTTACAGAAAATATGAAAAGGGGAGGTAATTTCTTTATTGCTTTATTGTCTCTTGTAAGGTTGAATTATCAGATTGAAAATGAATATTTTATACTTTAAAATGATGGACACATGACAAGGACATGGGGCACTGGATTAACATTCCTTTTTTGATGGGACCCAGGAATATGGTATTATTAACTCAAAGCAGAAATAGGATTCATGTATAATACCTCTGAACATTCAAACTAGAAAAGATAAAGAATCAGCTTAAAAAAAATTATCAATTCAATTAAAATTACTATGTTGTTAATAATTATAAACCAACTTATTTATTGGTCAGTTAGATATTTTGTTCTCATCTGAAACATATGCATCTGATTGATATGATTTATTATTGCTATTTTCCGTATTTTTCCTTTGATCTATTTTTTATGATAATTTATCATATCACACTATTCATTTGAGATATAAAATCATTGTCAGAAACTAAGGGTGCATTGGACATTGTCAATGTAAACATCAACAACCTCATAGGCAAAATAGCGATAAACAGATTATCAATGGTCTTTCAAATTCCAGAATGTTTCTCGGCAACATCTCATCTCAGGGCTATCACCCTTCAATGAGATTGTAGCTGAGAAACCACCTCTCGTTTGAAAAACCATCGATAATCTATAATTCCATTGACTTTAGAACATTGAACAAAGAGAGCCAGAAGATACCAAAGGGATAGTCAAACTCATAAGTCAAAAAACCAAACCAATAACGTCATGGCAACAATGAAAAATTACCAAAAGACAAACAACAGTATACAAAACACAATACAAAAAACTAAAGACTGAGCAACAAAACCATGGGTGACCTCAGGTGCTCCGAAAGGGTAAGCAGATCTTGCTCCACATCCATCGTGTTGCTCATGTAAGTACAAACCCAGTGATAAGTCCAATTCAGTAGGTCACATTCGAAGAAAAACAGTTTGGGATTGTGGTTATGACAATTAGAACATATCTGTCGTCATCTGTGAAACAGATATTCCATAACGGTCAACACTTCAAGATGGCATTCGCAAAGTTTTCAAAGTTATCAGGATGTAAAAACTTGTTCAAGTATTTAGTCTTTTTTTCCATTTCAGCCAGGGGGATATTTCTTCCTGACAACTTTAAATAAAACTTATCCATCCTATTTGCTGGCAGTACTGGGTGCTGAGCACTTGTTAAAAATTGTCCCACCTGGTACACATGACTGGAATAAATTTATTCCACCAGAGGATCTTCAACTTTCCTTGGAGCAAAGTAAGTATTGTGCAGATAAAATATTACGTCATAGACAAGGTAAATGTCCATGAGTTGCTCAGGAATAACCACATATCACTGTGAACAACCATGACATCACAGGGAATCAGACGTACATATTTATTCTGTTGAATTTTTATAGAAGTAATTGCCCTTTTTTGATGATTATCATGATTATTGACCAATTTTAGTGTTTTTGCATATTATCTAGAAAACTATAATACCGTACATTGAGTCATTGTAAAGAGCGAAAATGAGCAGCAATACAATATCTACAAAAAAGGTTAAATAAATGATACCATAAGTGACCTATAATTGCATTTTATCTTTGTCATTTGAACTCTAGTGGATAGTAGCCTCATTGGCAATCATACCACATCTCCTTATTTTATATCCTTTTGTTTTATTGCCCTACAATGATATCTTTTTGACTTGCCTATTATCATGATTATCTTAAAAACTATTATAGATAGAAACTGTGAACAGCAATACTGATCAGCAATACAAGATTGACCAGAATGCCAAAATTACATGACATTCTTTTACCATTCAACATTTTTGCTTATCATCCCAAAATTATAATAGATAGACAAACTATAAACAGCAAAACTGATTAGCAATACATGGTCTACAAAATACAAATAAACAGTTGTTTCCTTACAGAATTATTGTCCTTAAATAAACTAATTTTAATGTTTTTGCTTGTTATTTTGAAAACTGTAAAAGATCAACAGAAACTGTAACCAGCAAAAATAAACATCAAGGCGAAGATATATTTTATGCAAAAAGTCATATAAACAAAGCTGTCAATTGACTGTTTATTGAAGTTATTGACTTTTATGATGATTTTTGTATGAACTTGAGTTTTTTTTGTATACTCTCTAGAATACAATGATGGTTAGAGATAGACTGAAAGCAGAAATATTTGATAAATAAGCAAATTTAGATCTACAAATCATTTCATCAACCTTTGATATTGAGATAACTGCTTTCTAGAGTGTAATTTGATTTGGAAAGAGGGAGGGAAACTTGGAGGATATTTTTCTTCATACAAAATAATGTTGACCCTGGCACTGAAGAAAAAAAAAAAGGATTTGAATTCTCTTGAATGTTTTAAAAATACTGTACATTTGAATATAAGCGATTTGTTACCAGAAAAAAAATTTGATCACAAATATGGTGAAATAAATATCAAATGGCAAATTTGTTTTCCAAAAAAGCCATTCAGCAGTATGTAAATTGCATAAATTTTGATTAATTAAATAATCTATATTTTAAATTTCAGATACAATTTTAATAGGGCTGTTCCAAAATTAAATGCATGGCGGGACATGGGGGCACTTTTTATACGCCCGTCGGGATGACGGGACGTATTATGGTATACAAATGTCCGGTGTCCGTCCGTCTGTCTGTTCGTCTGTCTATCTGGCGTAAACATGTCGCACCGTAACTTGAGAATGACTTATCCAAATTTCATGAAACTTAACATAGTTGTTTCTTATGATGGTGAAACGATCTGTATACTTTTTGGTGAAAATAAGATTAAAACTTTTTGAGTTACGGGACTTAGTAACTAAAACAGGTGTGTGTTTTTTTTCACATGTCGCGCCGTATCTCAAAAACGATTTATGATTATTGCTTTAAATTTTACACACTTCTTAGTTACATTAATCTAAAGATCTGTATACTTTTTGGTTTTGATTCAAAATTTTATTTTAGAGATATTGAGTTTTTTGTAAAAAAAAAGGGGGTTTTCGCATGTCACGCCGTATGTCAGAAACTATTTATGCCTATTGCATAAAAATTCACACACAAGAAGACGGGCGTATCATGCGCTCATGGCGCAGCTGTTTATTTAAGAACTTGACCACCCATAAAATGCAAATTTTCATTTTACTTGTAATTATTACAAAATTCTATTAAGGAAAATGCAACCACCCATATTTAATTAAATTGAGTGCCTCCCATCCCCTTACCTGATAAATTTTGTAAGAGCCCTGACATTAAAGGATTAATTTATTTTTCTTTTGATTCCAGATGGAATGACAGTCCGTTTGTTACATGGAATGTGCTATAACCCAGTTATCAACAGATGGTCATGGATTAGTAACACGAATATTAATTATGCCATGTATGCCGTAAAATCCACCCAGTCTATACACCCACATGATACAATAGAACAGACAGATTATTAATTTCCTATTATTCACATTATTAAAATGTAAAATGATATAATTGCATTTGTTTTGTTTTTGACTTCAAATGAAAAAATTCCTTAAACAACAGATAAAAGTTTAATTAACTCATGCTGTTCTTCCAGTGGAACACTTTGAGCAATGATGAAAGAGAAAACAAAAAAAAACACTGATAATTCTGTCTTATTTAGAACTAGCTTAAATTTTGATTTATTTCAAACACTTATAAATTGCACTTTCAAATTGGATTCATGTAAAATCTTAAATCTGGTGAAAAGTTTAAAGCATATTTTCATATTTTGTTTTTTAACAGATTTGCAATTTTATTTCTCTCAATTTAATTTATTATCTTTTGATAAATATGCCAGATTGTCAAAATAAATTTAAAAAAAATAAACATTTATTAAAATAAATGCATATATTAGAAAGAAAAACGTAAAATTAGTGATACATGTCCAAAACCCTAAAAAATACAAAATAGAAATGAGTTTGAGACCTTAACTTTCATGATACAATGTCCAAAAAGCTAATACATTTTTTTTGCACTAATAAGTAAATCATTTCCTCAATCAAAATTGACTCTAAAATAGTTAAAAAGGAGTTATCTCCCATATATCTAAAAAGTTGAATTGGTTGGCAAAAGTGAATAATCAATTTTTTTATAAGTTCATTCACTTCTAATTTAGACATATCATTTTGTCTATAAATGTGAATATGCTGTTTTATTTTTAAAAAGCTGTGGTAATCCAACGCCAATATAAAGGTGGAAACAATTGTGTAATATTCAGATATTATTACAGGGGAGAATATATAACAAGTCATCAAAGATAGCAGGCTTATAATTTGGTACTGCCGGCAGACATTTCATCTACATTAGACTCAACAGTGACACTTGAATCAAAACAATTGCAAGCCAAATCAAATATTACGAATTTGAAGAGCAATAATAACGGAAAATTCTGAAAAAGTTGTGCAAACTACAGCTAAGGGGTATTCAAAAATAAATTAACGAAAAAAAAAACAGTCAAAAGAAAAAAAGACAAACACAAAATAAAGTAAATGAAGAATGTGTCCATGTGACACAGATGATTCCCCGCTTGCATATAACGTTATAACGGGGCATAACTGGAGAAAGGTAAAAGTGACGCCACCCAAATTCGAAATTGGTCTGTGTTTTGTGGTAATAACTGTGTATAAGTTTCATAATATTTGGTTGAGGCAAACTAACGTTAGAGAATGGAGACCAATTTTGGGACTTAGGTACAGACGGATAGAGGGACGGTTGTACAGACGGACAAGCGTAACACTTAATGCCCCCTCCAGTGACGGCAGGGGCATAAAAAGTACAGCTAATGAAACTCCTACAGAAAATTAAAGATTTGGATTATTAATCATATTAAAAACAGGGTGAACTTAGTTGTTCTAGAAGGCCAGGCAGTTCCTGCTCCACAAGTGACACCTCATCATGTTAATACACATGTTAAAATTATGTTGATGATGACAAGGTATACAATAATAGATAGGAAAATGTTACTTGATACATGTGAATTCTCTAACCCTTATACTTCACACAATCTGAAAGTTATAATTGGTTCCGGACCAACAAAGTAATGAGAAAAACAACACAGACATTGAAAAAAATAGAAGGTAACAAAAAACAACATAAATCAAGACTAATACCAGGTCTGGACCTGGGTTGCTACATTCAATTGATTGAGGTAATATGTATACCAGAGCATTTCTGACCATTCCCAGACCAAATATTAAAATCATTCACTTCAAGGGGAGCCAAGAACTATTAGCAAACCAAAAGTTGCAACACGGCTGATGCAATAAAATGCTCCGCTGGGCGCAGCTTGATACAACCACAGAGGTCGAACCCTGAACTGTTGGGTAAGTATGGACACAACTTTCAAGCTTGATACAGCACTGAATTTGGATTGTGATTAAATATTTGACACAGAATGAATGTGGTCTAAGAACTTAATAATTTTTAATTTACCTATTCAAACCATATCATTATTATTTGCTTTTATATATAAATCAGAAATAACCAATTTAAAATGGAAAATAGAAAAGAAAAAACCCCCCCCCCCCAATTTTTTGAACCCCCTTATGATTCATCACCCCAAAAATCAATCCCAGCCTTCCCTTTGTGGTATGGTACCTTGCAGTACAATTTCAGAGATATCAATACACTTGAACACAAGTTACTGTCTGGAAACTAGAAAAATGTTTGTTTTTAGGCCCCTTTTTGGCCCCAAATTCCTAAACGTTTAGGGCAATTATCCCCAAACTCAAACCCAGCTTTCCCTTTGTGATATGGAACCTTGTAGTACAATTTCATAAAGATCCATACACTTACACACAAGTTATTGTCCTGAAACTAGAACGGTTGTATAAAAATGCTTGTTTTTTGCCCCTTTTTGGCCCCTAATTCCTAAAATTTTGAGGCAATTACCCCAAAAATCAATCCCAGCCTTCCCTTTGTGGTATGGTACCTTTCAGTACAATTTCAGAGAGATCCATACACTAACACACAAGTTATGTCTGGAAGTTACAAAAATGCTTATTTTTGGCCCCTTTTTATACGCCTATTTACGGGACGTATTATGGTCTGTCCGTCCGTCTGTCCGTCTGACCGTCGTCAACATGTCAGCTATTAATTCAAAAACGCTTTAACCAATATGCATGAAACTTTGGTGAATTGTTTATATCTATTTACGTGAGCTCTCTTTCGTTTTTTTATAAATTTCAGATTTATCATTTCAGAGTTTTGGGGTTTTATTCATTAAAAAAGGGGGGATTTTCCAGTTTTCAGACAATAACTCAAAAACAATTTCACCAATCTGCAAGAAACTTTGGTGAATTGTTTTAAATATTTCTATCGACATGAGCTCCCTTTTGATTTTTATAAATTTCAGACTTTACGTTTCCGATTTATGGGGTTTTATTCATTACAAAAAGGGGGATTTTCCAGTTTTAGGACAACAACTAAAAAATGATTTCAGCATTTTTTCAGCATTTCAGCATTTTTTATGAAACTTTGGTAAATTGTTTATATCTATTTTTGTAAGCTCCCTTTTGATTTTTATAAATTTTCGATTTTATGTTTCTGAGTTATAAGATTTAATTTGTTTATAGTCTGACAACAGATTTACTAAGTATTACGCTACAGCACAGTGTATTGCACAACAGCAAGAAATCTTTTATATAACCAATTTCAAGTTCTTTGACTACATTTATTCAGAAACCTATAATATATCAAATATTTAATTACAATCCAAATTCAGACCTGTATCAAGCTTGAATATTGTATCCATTTTTGCCCCAACTGTTCAGGGTTGGACCTCTGCGGGCGTATCCAGCTGCGCTCAGCGAAGCAGTTAATTGGCCCATAATTCCTTAACTGTTGGTACCATAACCCCCAAAATCAATCCCAGCCTTCCCTTTGTGGTATGGTACCTTGCAGTACAATTTCAGAGAGATCCATACACTTGAACACAAGTTATTGTCTGGAAACTAGAAACATGCTTATTTTTGGCCCCTTATTCCTAAATGTTTTGGGCAATTACCCCCAAACTCAATTCCAGCTTTCCCTTTGTGATATGGAACCTTGTAGTACAATTTCATAAAGAACCATACACTTACACACAAGTTATTGTCATAAACTTTGAGACTGTTTCACAGCTTTTTTTAATACTTGGCAGAATTGTTTGTCAGCATGTGTTGTTACTATACTATCATTTTGATTTGACAATTTTGTAGGAGTTTTGAACCATTTATTATTCTAACATAATGACTACTTGTAAACAAGAATCTTATGAATCATAAGAGAATGCTTTCATACTGTATATAAAACAAGGAGATGTGATTTGATTGTCATTGGGACAACTATCCATTAGACACCAATGGACGAGAATGTAAACAACTATAGGCACTATACAGTCTTCAACAATGAGCAAAACCCATACTGTATTATAATGCTATCAAAAGCCCATGCATGACAAAAAGTGAAACAATTTAATAGAGAATACTAGCAGCTGGATTTATTTTAAAGACATCAAATGAAAACTTAATTAGACAGGCAGAAATCAATGAAAAACCAACATGACCACCGAATTACAGGCTCCTCACCTTGGACAGGCTATAGAATATAGTTGGTTTAAACATATTTGTTAGCACTAATCCCTATTGTGCTCATGAAGAAGTATAAAAATCAGGACAAACAAACCTAGTTTTGTGAAGGTTATGACCTATTTTCTCAGTATATCTCCTTTACACAAGTTTAGATGATATTACTTTTAAGTATTAGAGATCAGAGATCAAAGTTGTGATGTTAAATAACCAATTATTATTTTCACAATATTTTTTCAAGTCACTAAAACAAAAACTATAGGTCATCTTGGACTACTTTGATACGGAAAGTAATTTTACCACTGGTTCTATACATGTTTTCATACAAAAATTAACAATCAAATCAATTGCAGTTCTATAGATATATGAATGCATATGAGATCAAGATGAGGATGCAAATGATGGGTCTAAAATAATCACAAGAACTACCGTATTTCTAGCACTTTTAGTCCACGGGAAGGATAGGTCGAAGGGCCATTTTTTTATGAATATTGGGAAAAAAACTAAGATTGGTCAAACCGGTGGATAGCTCAAAGGTCGAAAAATAAATCTACTGTAAGTATTAGAAGTATAAGCTCAGAAATAAATGTATTTTATCGTTTTTTTTAATGCATATGTTATCATATATGCAATAAAAGTATCAAACATGTTTTGAAGTTTACATCAGATATACTTGATCATTGAAAATATTGCTGATTTTTTCTTAACTTAGATAGGTCGATCTGACGCATAAGATGAGGCCCAGAATTTTCTGAAAAAAAATCGTCTTATCCACTGAAAATTACGATAATATGCATTAATAATAAATTTAATATCAACTTTTATTAAAGAGCTGACTGTCATAGTTTGTATAACATCTAAACTCATTCTGTAAATTGTTTGTATGTCGTGGTTGGAAAACACATGGTTTGAGACGTAGGAGTTTATCTGCTAAATCTGTCATAACAGCACCTGAAAAATAGAGATGGTAAATAAGTTATTAAAAACAAAAGTAGCTTTTTAGTGATAATTTGTTCTTTGTAAACAGCAGAATCCAAATATTTCACTCTTTCCATTGTTTCAAACAAAAAATTATAAAAAGGTAGATTAACAGGTAAATAAAGTTCTTGCTTTTTTACAAGGTACTGGTATATATTGTACATAAAATTCTATCAATTACAACAAAATATAAAATTGATGACCAGTAAGTCCCAATAGCTGGTTCCATAAGTCATTTATTCAAAGTTATAACCAAAAACATGCACATGTTTAATAATAATCTTGCAACTGCCCTGCACAATCTGAGATTATTTTTTTCTAGAGCTGTTTGAATATTTGATTATTTGATAAATGTTAAAGTTAATATTGCTCAGAGGTAAAACAGCTTTCATGTTCCTCAGTTCCAGTCAAGCATTTTAGTTTCAAAATGATAATTTTAAAATCAAGCTAAACAATGTATGGTACCAACCGCTACATTTTAGACAAAGTTTTTTTTTTAATAATTATTATTTCTTTAAGCCTTGAATAAATCATCACTACAATCTAGTAGGGCTTGTGTGTATCAATTTGGTAAGTCAAATAAGAATATCAACCATTTATCCCTCTAAAACGGCAGCCAAGGGAAATAACTCAAACTAAAATCATGTCATTTAAAACATAGTCTATTGCTTTTGATTTGTTTGTGTACTGTCATTTTTTACTGTCATCCTGATTTAGATAACAGTAGATTTTGTATCGTTTATCTGTTTTTTCCTTTACTTCTGAAGTCTAATCAGAAATAATAAAAAAAAATTTCATAACATTAACTGCAATCACTTTTACATCAATTATTTCTTGCAGACCATTAACCAATGAAACTATATCTTTCCACAGCCGTAATACTTCTAAATTATACAAGTATCTTCTACAGCATGCTTATGGGTAGTATTTGTACCTCATTTTATAAACTGCATCTGTTTAATATATATATTAGATATCTATTTAAAGTTTGCTTGAATAAAGTAAAAATTGTTAGTGCAGAAAGTATAAATACCTGTACATAAAATAATTTTATCTTTGGCTAAATATTTAATAGAAACTGCCGTTTTACACAGGCATTCCTCTGACAAAAATGGTGGATCAGCAATGACCAGATCAAACCAGTTCTTCCAGTTTTTAGGGAATTTAAGTGGTTCTTTGTAATCATACAATAGAAAGTCATCTCCATACACCTGAAACCTTGTGTCATATTCTAAACATTTCAATGAAACAGAGTCTGGTTTTATTTCTCTTAATTTCTTGTATGCTGTTGGAGAACTTAGGCAAGCTATACTGAAATACAAAATTTTTATTTTATAATAATTTTCTAAATGACACTAGCAAGGAATCAGGGCATAGCCACTGATTAATACTTTAAACATGCTTCAATTATGTCATGGGCATAAGGTAGTGAGGAGATCCAAAAAATAACTAAATAAATATATATCTCAAACTATTTTTTATTTCAGAATAATATATCTAAAACAGTTTTCACTCAAAATTTTACATTGAATTTGGTATGGATCAATATATTTTATCTGGACTCATTATGAACTGGTTGAGTTTGTTACCTGAATGGAACAAAAATAGCTTTTCTAAATTTATTACATTATTTTGTTTCTTCTACACACTCTCAAATTACAACTGAAAGTTTTTATGTCTCTGTCACACATTTTCCATTAGATTTTGAATTTAATTTAAACTTTAAACATTATTTCTTATCTTATACATTCTCTCATACTACAGCTGGAAAATCAGTTATACAAAATCCACAAAATGTAAATCTGTCTTACCTCCCTTGTTCTCCTACAGCTCTTAATGCTTCCTCTGCCAATCTTGTTGCTGTGGTCTCATTATACCAGAACTGACTCAATTGCTGAAAATATAAACATACTTTTATGTTTTGTTATAAATTTTGTAATAAATTTGGCTGTTAGTTTTCTCAATTGAATTGTTTCATATTTTTTTTTATGTCAGGTCCTTTTATAGCCGACTATACGGTATGGGTTTTTCTCATTGTTGAAGGTCGTACAATTGCCTATAATTGCTTACATCTACTTCATTTGAACTTTGTCGGATAGTTGTCTCATTGGCAATTAACCTCATCTCCTTATTTTTATATTAATTAATATAATACCAATTAAAAGCCTAAAAATCATACTGACAAGAGAAACGGATGAAATACTTCATATCAGACGAATGGACGGACAGACGGACGACGGACAACAGTATACCATAATACGTCCCGTAAACGGATGTATAAAAATAATGTATCTCAGACTAAATATCCATCAGTACACATCAAACATCTACCTTGACCATGTGGAATGCCAAATTACAGGTATCAACATTATCAATCAATATTAATACCCCTTGGTCTACGTGCATATTAAACAAAGGACACAGATGGATTCATGACAAAATTGTGTTTTGGTGATGGTGATGTGTTTGTAGATCTTACTTTACTGAACATTCTTGCTGCTTACAATTATCTCTATCTATAATGAACTTGGCCCAGTAGTTACAGTGGAAAATATTTTGTAAAAATTTACAAAAATTTACAAAATTTATGAAAATTGTAAAAAATTGACTATAAAGGGCAATAACTTCTTAAGGGGGTCAATTGACAATTTTGGTCATGTTTGACTTATTTGTAGATCTTACTTTGCTGTACATTATTGCTGTTTACAGTTTATCTCTATCTATAACAGTATTCAAGATAATAACCAAAAACGGCAAAATTTCCTTAAAATTACCAATTCAGGGGCAGCAACCCAACAATGAGTTGTCCGATTCATCTGAAAATTTCAGGGCAGATAGATCTTGACCTGATAAACAATTTTACCCATGTCAGATTTGCTCTAAATGCTTTGGTTTCAGAGATATAAGCCAAAATCTACATTTTACCCCTATGTTCTGTTTTTAGCCATGGCGGCCATCTTGGTTGGTTGGCCGGGTCACTGGACATATTTTTTAAACTAGATACCCCAATGATGATTGTGGCCAAGTTTAATTAAATTTGGCCAAGTAGTTTCAGAGGAGAAGATTTTTGTAAAAGTTAACGGACGACGGACGCCAAGTGATGAGAAAAGCTCACTTGGCCCTTTTGGCCAGGTAAGCTAATAAAAACAATATTCAAAGATCTAATAAAAATGTTGAATTGATAATCATTTAGAATAAGTTTATTGAAATGATCGATTAGTTAACCATGTTAACCCAGATTGTATCTAAATTTCTGGGCTAGGTAAACAACATCTCCGTAAAAATTAGTATGTGCTATCCCATTTGAAATAAGTTTTCTACGGGTACTTCAAACTTCAAAACCAAATCTTTGTATCTATGGAAGAATTTAGTAAAGGTTTTAAGTAATTTGTGGTAACGAAATCCCTAATTTACCAGTAATACATAGATTACGTTCATTGAAATCCAAAAGGTCATACCAAGTTTCCTGCCAACCTGAAATTAATTGCACATAATTAGATAATTGCCCATAATGACAATGTAAGTTTGTGGCAATAATACTAATGAAACCATTTGTCAGTGTAAAATCATACCCAATCTTCTGATATTTCTAGCTCCTTTAAATTTCCTTGTTGAGCTTCAATCAAAGTTTGTTCTTGTTTGTTCTGTTCTGTATAAAACTCTTGTAAAGCTGCTAATGTATGGGCAGATAACTGGGGAGCATCATCATCCATGATGAACTGAAATTATACAATGGGATTAATGTCCTCAGTTTTCAGACTACACACTGCTTTAAAGTACATTGCATATTCAACTTGGGATCATAATTGTATATATAAAAAACAACATATCTAAATTTGAACAAATTTAGTCATAGCGTTTTCATGTTATTGAACGGCAGCCGCCCCCGCCGTACATCCCCAAATAAATAACTGATTTTTCCTTCGAAAATCTGGTTAAAAAATAAAATTAAATTACAAAGTCTGATTTCTGTAAAAATCAATCAGTTTCATGAAATCAGAACTTTCTGCTTTTGGTGACAATTTACAAATATTTTTTACATGTTAAGAGTATATGATACGGAAGATCTCTCGATGAATTTGCCTTGAAATTCTTGTTCAGCTATTCCTGCCATACATCAAATCCTATATACAAATTACTGTCATATAAGAATTATTGATGATAAAAAAGTTAAGGTCTTTGTTTGCTTAAATTAACAACATGTCTGTTTTTCCTTTGTAAATATATTCAAATTCATGTAACCGATTTGATGATGATGTTGGTGATTTTGAAAGCTTATTACTAGCAATATCTGCGAAAACAAAACGTTAAATGTGGATGCATTATTATCCATCCTTGTAACTGTTTCCTATGCCCTCAATTTTCAAAGTTTTCACATGTTTTAAAGCAAAAAGTTGAACACTGATGTCATAACATAATAAAATGCTCTGCAGGGCACAGCTTGATACTACTGCAGAAGTCCAACCCTGAACAGTTGGGGCAAGTATGGACACAACAAGCTTGATACAACTCTGAATTTGGATTGTGATTAAATATTTGACACAGCATACGTTTGTGACACAGAATGAATGTGGTCTGAGAACTTAACAATTTGAAATTAGACATTTACCAATTATTGTCCAATATCCAAAATCTTATAAAATACATTGTTAGATTCAGCATATGAAAGAACCCCAAGAATTCAATTTTTGATGAAATCAAACAAAAAGTGTAATTTTGGACCCTTTGGACTTCAATGTTAACGAAATTGATTATGGGGCCAAAATCCTTTCAAAGTTTAATTTTGGACCCTTTGGACCTAAATGTGCACCAAATTAAAAAAGGGACTCTTAAAATCCAAAATCTAAATACATGGTTAGATAATTTCAGCATAGCAAAGAATCGATTGATAATGCAAATGTTGAAATTAAAATAGCAATACTTTAACATGTAAGTTATGCAAATATTCAAAGTCAATGAACCATGACTGAAGGAACATGGCTAAACAATCTCCATGGAAATGAGATGTGCCAATGCTAATACAACTGCATACCAAATACCATTGACTTATTATAAGTCGTTCCCTTTAAACAAACCTAAACACAAACATTAACTTGTAAACTATGTAAAAGTTTCAAAGTAAATGAACCATGATCAGGGGTGGGGCTATATAATCTCCATGGAAACGATTCTTGCAAATGCCAATAAATTTGCATACCAAATATCATTGACTTAACATTAGCAGTTCATCTTAAACTGATCTAATCACAAACTAATACAAGTATATATAACATGAGCAAACTAAGCAAAAGTTTCAAAGTAAATAGACCATGACTGAGTGGGTGGGGCCAAATATTCTCCATGGAAATGAGATGTGCTAATGCTTATACAACTGAGCACCTATTAACATTGACCTACCACTAATGGTTCCCCTTGAACTGACCTAATCACAAACTAATACATGTTAACTTAGCAAAATTTTCAAAGTCTATAGACCATGACTAAGGGGGCGGAGCCAAATAATCTCCATGGAAATGAGATATGCCAATGCTTATACAACTGCATACCAAATATCATTGACCTACCACTAGTGGTTCCCCATAAATTGACCTAATCATAAACTAATACATGTAAACTATGAAAAGTTTCAAAGTCAATAGACCTTGACTGAGGGGGCGGGGCCAAATTATCAATTTCCATGGTAATGAGATGTGCCAATGCTAATACAACTGCATACCAAATATCATTGACCTACCACTAGTGGTTCACCATGAACTAGACCTAATCACAAACTAATACATTGTTGACGCCGCCGCCGACGCCGACGCTGGAAACAGCATACCTATGTCTCGCTTTTTGACTTCGTCAAGGTGAGACAAACAACTAAATACAAGTTTAGATTCAGCATATCAAAGAACATCAATAATTCAATTTTTATTGAAATCATACAAAGTTTATTTTGAACCCTTTGGACCTCAATATGGACCTATTTAAAAACAGGGCCCAAAATCTAAACACACGGTTAGATTCAGTAAATTAAAGAACCCCAAAAATTCAAGACTTTGAATTAAACCCCATTGAAATTGGTCAAGAAATAAGTAATTTGTACAAAGTATTAAAACAATATTGTTTTTGGTCCTTAATTCAGTCTGCACCGTTAGCCACTAGTCCGAAGCCCAAGACTAGTAAAATTTTATTCAGACTAGTAAGTATTTGCAAATGTTTGTTTCAACACATAAAAAAATTGTGGGAATATTGGTCTTTGGACTAGTTAAGTTGGAAAAGATTTTGGTGCAGACTGTTCCTAAACTGTTATGGCCATAACACCAAATTAAATCCCAACCTACCTTTTTGGGTATTCAACCTTGTGGTACAATTTCATAAAGATCCATAGATTTGTACTCAAGTCATTGTTTGGAAACCAGAAAATCCTTGTTTTTTGTTCCCTAATTCTTAAACTGTTTGGGCCATAACCCCCAAAATCAATTCCAACCTCCCTTTTGAGGTACGGAACCTTGTGGTACAATTTCATTTTTATACATGTGCATGCAAAACAAATTTCTTGGTAGAGGGGTCTAAATACAGCACAAACAACATTTTCCATAGGACCAAAAAAGTGAAAAAGTATATTTTAACAAAACGCATTTGACTATCAGCTCGAACACAGATGTTCTTAAACCCTGCTGACTGCCATGGCGATTGCAAATATATATATATATGAGACGTCTACCGGTAGATATTAGTCAACGATCTTTCTTACGAGGGCGCTGGATCGTTACAAGTAACGATACATGTACACAATAAATAAATTATATAAACACCTAAAAAGTGTACAAAACAACACCAATATTAAATAAAATGCTTCGCTGGGGCGCAGCTTGATACGACCGCAGAGGTCGAACCCTGAACAGTTGGGGCAAGTATGGACACAACATTCAAGCTTGATACAGCTCTGAATTTGGATTGTTATTAAATATTTGACACAGCATAGGTTTCTGACACAGAAAGAATGTGGTCTAAGAACTTGAATTTTTTTAATTTACCTATTATGGTCCAATGTCCAAAATCAAAATACATGGTTAGATTCAGCATATCAAAGAACCCCACATTTTCAATTTTTGTTGAAATCAAACAAAGTTTAATTTTGGACCCCAACTTGGACAAACTTGAAAACTGGGCCCATAATCAAAAATCTAAACACATGTTTAGATTCAGCATATCAAAGAACCCCAAGAATTCAATTTTTGCTAAAATCAAACTAAGTTTAATTTTGGACCCTTTGGACCTTAATGTAGACCAATTTAAAAAACGGGACTTAAAATTAAAAATCTAAATACACGGTTAGATTTGGAATATCAAAGAACACCAATAATTCAATTTTTGATGAAATCAAACAAAGTTTAATTTTGGACCCTTTTGACCTCAATATGAACAAATTTGATAGTGGGGCCCACAAATAAAAAATCTTAATTCATGGTTAGATTCAGCATATCAAAGAATCCCATATATTCAATTTTTGTTGAAATCAAAAAAAGTTTAATTTTGGACCCCAACTTGGACCAAATTGAAAACTGGGCCCATAATCAAAAATCTAAACACATGTTTAGATTCAGCATATCAAAGAACCCCAAGAATTCAATTTTTGTTAAAATCAAACTAAGTTTAATTTTGGACCCTTTGGACCTCAATGAAGACCAATTTAAAAAACGGGACCCAAAATTAAAAATCTAAATACACAGTTAGATTTGGAATATCAAAGAACCCCAATAATTCAATTTTAGATGAAATCAAACAAAGTTTAATTTTGGACCCTTTTGACCTCAATATGAACCAATTTGATAACGGGGTCCACAAATAAAAAATCTAAATACATGGTTAGATTCAGCATATCAAAGAACCCCATATATTCAATTTTTGTTGAAATCAAACAAAGTTTAATTTTGGACCCCAATTTGGGCCAACTTGAAAACTGGGCCAAAAATCAAAAATCTAACTACATGTATAGATTCAGCATATCAAAGAACCACATATATTCAATTTTTGCTAAAATCAAACAAAGTTTAATTTTGGACCCTTTGGACCTTAATGTAGACCAATTTGAAAACTGGACCCAAAATTAAAAATCTAAATACACTGTTAGATTCGTCATAACAAATAAATAAATGTGATCAAAGATTTTACAAATCTAATGGGCCATACTGTGCAATTAAAGATTACTTCTTGAAATTTTTCAATATTTGAAATTTGAAAAAAAAATAATATTTGAAGAATAATTCTTTTTAATTTCTGAAATCTGAAATGAGAAAAAAATGACCCCCCACAATTTCTTTTTATCCCCCCCCCCCTTTTTTCCCCCAAAAAATTCTTTCCCTGAAGATATGGTCATAATCTCAATTCAAATTTCCAATGGAGTTGGCAACCATAATTACCCATTTAAATTTACCATAGTGCTAACTTAATCTATTTTATAATAGAATTAAAAATATAGTGTCAAATCTTTCATATGGATTTTTTTGTAAAAAAAAAAGATGCAATACTTGCAGATATTTTTACTGGTCTTCCTTTATAAATATGCATTTCTTTAAACATAATTTAAAAGCAGTGTAAGGGAAGTAACCAAAACGTTGTATTTGGATTACCTCCCTTACACTGTTTTAAATTATCTTTATTGTTCATTAACCATTACTTTATACATAATTCAAAAGCAGTGTAAGGGAGATAATTTCAATGATGTATTTGATTTATCTCCCTTACACTGCTTTAAATTATGTTTTGTACTAAAGTATTTGTCCATTAACCAGGACAACCTTGTTTTTCCCCCTTTTTTGCCCCTAATTCCTAAACGGTTTGAGCCATAACCCCCCAAAGCAAATCCTAACCATCCCTTTGTGGTATTGAAACTTGTAGTATAATTTCAGAGAGATCCATACACTGTTCCACAGTTATTGTCTGGAAACTAGAAAATGCTTATTTTTGGCCCCTTTTTGGCCCCTAATTCCTTAACTGTTGGTACCATAACCCCCAAAATCAATCCCAACCTTCCTTTTGTGGTATTTAACCTTATGGTCAAATTTCAAAAAGATCCATTCACTTAAACTAAAGTCATGAAAGTTAGAGTGCGAAAACCAATGTGTCTTCGGACGACGACGACGACGCCGGACGACGATGACGACGACGACGCCAACGTCATACCAATATACGACCACAAAATTTTTTTGCGGTCGTATAAAAATGAAAACATTAAATGTAATTATCTATAAATATTTCGGATAACAGATATCCTTCATCAGTATGATTATGATGTAAAATGAATCATATCAATCTATTCTGATTTAACTATAACAATCTTGAAATTTATACAATTAAAACAATTAAAACCGAACACAAAAACGCTTGTAAAATGACATAGGTTATATAGCTATTCACAACAGAGACTGCATAGATATGCTTCAAATAAAATAGTAATGTGGGATATGAACTGATACAATTCTAAAATTTCAAAGGTGATGACAGTTAAGATGTTACAACAACGACTGCGTGGAAATACATTCCCAATGAACAGCACTGACCGATCTAAGCTGGTATAATATTTCAAATTTGACAATGGTAAAGTAATTACAACAAAGGCTGCTTATTTAAACATCCCAAATAAATAGCAGTTTGATAATGATTTAAAAAAGATAATAATAAATTTTGACAAAAGTTGAGTACCGGGGTAATTGAACGTGACTGCGTACTTGTACATCCCAAATGAATAGGACCCTGCAATTTAAACTGGTATTATACAAGAATTTTAGAGTTGACAAAGGTAAAGGAATAGCAACAGAGACTGTGTAGTAATATGTAATATAACCCAAATGAAAAGCACTACGCGAATTAGACCTACACCTTTCATTTATCCCATTTGGAGCCACAGTTTTTAATTTTCTTATCCAAAATCTTTCCCGAGTGAGTCTATCCTCCCTAGACCAAGCAGTGTTGTGGTCTATGATTGTAATGGTCAGTCGATTGAGATCTGCCTAAAAGTGTGGCCAGGGGATCTCAAATGTCGACTGAGAGGAAGGTCTGGCTTGCATTCATAGTCACTATGAAGGCCGTTCATTTGTTTGTGAAATGGCAGTTCTGACCTGCCAACATACTGTTTACCACATTTACACTGCAGAAGATACACAGCATTTGTAGTCTTGCAATTAACATTGCAAAATATGGTGTATTCCATACCAGTGGAGTGACTGTTATAAGTCTGGGTATTCAGTATTTGTTTGCAAGTCAGACATCGTTTGTTTCCGCATCCCTTGCAAGAGCCCACAGACGAAGAGCCTGTTTTAGAGGATAAATCAGCTCTCACCAGCAAGTCTGTAAGCCTTGGGGCCTACAGAAAGCCAGTACAGGTGCACGTGGCTCAGGAAGCTTTTGGATACTTTAGGATGTTTTTCGATTTCTTTCCAATTTTCGCGGATTAGGTGTGATAACTTGTCAAATTTGGGATGGTAAGTCAGCACAAACGGCACTCTCTTGTTGACCTTTTTGTCTTTATATTGTAAAAGTTCATCTCGGCTGATGTTGTTAGCTCAAGAGAAACCTTTATCAATGTCTTTTCTTTTGTAGCCCAGATTTTTTAGGTGACCGCGAAGTTCTTGTAGTCGCCTTTTTACAGTATCGTTGGTGGAGCAAATCCGTTTACAGACTTTCCATAGAGATTTTTTAAATCCGAAATAAGTAACAGATGTATTGATATTCATTTGCTTAAGGTTGATTTCTATCTGACGCACAATTATTGTTATTAGATTGATCTCTATTTATATCATCTGTATCGTTTTGTCATTATGTGAAGCTGTTTTAAGAAACTTATTGTTTGTATACATTACGAATCGTAATGACTTTGTTTTGACTGTTTCTCTTAAAACAGGAACACTGTGGTCCTAAGCGCTTCGTAGATTGTATCAGCTTTTCTGTGGTCTTTCTTGTGGTTTTCTTTTATCTTATCCACTAACTCAATTTTACTTACGCATCTCCTTTGGTGAACATTTAAATCAACAGATTTTCTAAACATTGAATTTGTATCTTGGTCGTAAAAATATTGAATTAGAACAGTCTTCACAACTCTCTCGGACAATCCAAGTTTGAATTCTGTTATAACATTTTTAGGTCCTCATTTGCAGTTTTGTTCCTTTGCTTTGGATATTCAATATAATACGACATGTTGGCCAAAATTGTCTCGGCCTTTTGATCTTTACTTAATATTTTTTTTCCTTTTTCTCTCCAAAACATATCCTTCATAATGTAGGTGTCTTGTTCCATTGTTGAAGCCATCAACGGCGTCGATTTGATAAAGTAATAACGTCATTGCGGCAAGTCCATAAAACGGACCCTGATTAGAAATGACAAAAATTGGACGTAGATTTGAAAACAACAAAAAAGACATTGATCAGAGGGCAGGGCTCACACTACTTCAGAATCATAGGGAGAAGTGACTTCTCTTTTTGAAATTGAGAGGGAGAAGTGGTGAGATTTGAAAGAGAAGAGAAAGCGGGGCTACAATGTTTGAATTTTACTATAATACATTAAGGGCCATATGTATCTTATCTTTTTTATATTGTTCAATTTGTACCTGGTTATACAAATAACATGATTAAAGTCATTGTTCAAATTTAAAGTTGTTTAATTTTATCATATCTAGTTGCACAATCAAATGAGTTCTCTTGTCATAAAAAACAATTAAATATCTGGCAATAAAAAAAATTAAAATTCAATTAAAAAAAACTACTCTGTTATCATGTTCATGAAATTAATTATTTCTCATTAAAAAGATATATAAATTTAACAGTTAAGCTTGGACATAATATGATTTTATTAGTGTAATAGTCCCAGAGTTGTGCAACTTTAACTTATAAATTGAAACAATGCATATACATGGAAATATATACATTAATCAAGAAGATCTAACCAAAAGTATGTTAATGCTTGTGGAATGCGTAATTTTTCCTTTTGGGATCAATTTTTGTCTGTCAGCAGTCCCCATTCAGGCGTCCATAGTCATTATCGCAAGAATCTGGATTTCGGTCATAGAGGGTCCGTTTCTGATGAAATCCTGACTCCGATCCGTAGTTGTACAATGATATGCCCAATAATTTAAATGTCGGACGAAGAAAAATTTACAAAAATAAACGATGTTTGACACGCTATTTGGAAAGGAATATGACGTTTTTAATGCAATACATGGATAACAAGTTTACTTCAGGCAAATTTCATCAAGTTCTAATGAAGTAATAACTTATTTTGCCGAAAGTTAGAATGATTTGATGTACGTTCTCGTGTAACAAGTACCGGAAGTGATAACAAATTGTTTTTATGAAATAACATGCCATGGCCACCAGCTTAAAAATCACTGCTTTAACCTCTTTTTTGAAGAAAATAAATCGGTTATGCCTGGAATTATTTTACTTTTAAATGAAAATTGCTGTTTCGTCGACTTGGTAAAAATTGAATATTGCCGATGACGAAAGCGACTGAAAGCGAGTATCGTAAACAACAGGGCGACTTGTTTTCGCTTTTGGGGGTCAGGCAAAGCGAAGTGATGGACGGTAAGGCGACTTCTTCGCCCTAGTCGCCTGGTAGCATGAGCCCTGTTATAGAGGCATAAAATTGGCTGTCGATTTGGAATCTTATTTTAATATGACGTCAGATTTAGACATCTGACGTCGATTTGAGGAACACACGTCTATTAGAGACCAGACATTGATCTGAGTCTTACATATATATGCAATAAACAGTCAGGGGTACTACTTAAACAAGTGATTTCAGAATCACTCCCTCGAGTGATTTTGGCTGTGAAATATTAAAAATTTTCACACAGACTTTTTAAAATCACTGAAACAAGTAATTTTAGAAGTTAAAATGTAATCACTTTAATAAGTGTTTATAACATTTTCTTGATATTTTTCCCACAAGCTTGATTTTTTTATTGGTAAAAAGACAACAATTCCATTGAAAAAACAACTATGTATATGCAGAAATAAGTGATGATGAAATCACTTGTTTAAGTAGCACCCCTGACTGATAAAGATAAAGCCATCAGCTCTGTTTTGTGTTCACTATAAGCTAAAAAAAATTAACGTACACTTTGTGATTTGCTACGTTAAGTTTATATGATGCAGTTTTTATCTGTATGCATGTAATTAAACAATCATGAGTTAAAAGAGCAAAGCGAGATAACAACTCACAAGCAACTGTAGTTGGCAACTACATATAAAATCAATTACAAGAAGGGAAATCGTGGATATAATCTCCCAAAAAACTCTGAAGCTCTAGAAGACGTCATTTATCTGGACTAGCTTTATATAAATTGGACAAGTCTCCCCCTTTTTCTTAAATTCTACCATTTCAATCAAAAAGTGCAATCAATTGATATCTTTGGGTTAAAATTTAAAGTACAAATTGATAAATGTGTTATTTACTTTTTCGAGTTGCGGCTGTTGACGCTTGCACTTCGTGACTTGTCCAAAAAGAATTCTGTATTCTGAAAAAGAACGTGGGTCCAAAAACTTCGCCAAACTAAACCTTCGGTTATCTCGGAGTTTATCACCTTTTGGAAAAAACTTCCGGTTTGAAATGAACCTCCGAATAATCGATACGTCACTAATATCCCTGGCTACCTTTTTATTTAGATATGGCGGCGCTCAGTTAACGTAAATGAATCTTAGGATTACACATGAAAATGGGGATACATATATGTCAGGGAGGGGATTAAGCAATGTCTGAAACTGGTAAGATTTGAAAATTTTATTCCTAAACAAATGACATTTCTGAATTTTCAGCGAGCGACACGTTATTTTACAGCCGTTTCTCAAGTCCCAGTGCAGGTAATATTGCGGTTTTATACATATTTCAAGTGTACCTGGATATCCTATCAGTTCTACCTGCATAATCGTAGACATTGCAATCGTGTTGACCTCGAGCAGAGCTGCACATCAAATGATTAAAAGGAAACTTTGCATAAATTACGGGAGCCATACAAGTGCTATCTGAATTTAAGAAGCTGGTCATGTTGTAAACAGTAGAGCGTAAGACAAGGTCCACAGAGACTGAATACCAATACAGAAATAGGAGGGTTGCAGAAATACCATCTGAAGAAGAAATAGACAATACCAATGCTGATGATACAGCAGCTATAACATCAATGTCAATCAACAATTCACTAAAATATGCCATGAACCTTGGAAAGAAAGAGCTGAAAGAAAAGAAATGCAGGTCAAATGACCCAGTTCTGTCTATTTCATACTACCGAGATAGTGTTCACTTAATTTCCTATATCACTTTTTTAGCACTTCACTTTTTAGTAAATTGCATGTCAAAGAGAAAACAATCACATTTTCTGTGTAAATATATTTGTACATGTGCAATTAGCCATGACAAAGACAGCAGTTCTTTGTCCTGTTTTTGTTACTTCTTCTATTTGAATGCTCTATGGTCCATCATTAGGTGTTATGCATGCAGGTCAATAGACAATGTCATGGCCAACTTTCTGTTTATTTATTGTCAATGAGTGAGCGTCCCACTTTCCTATATCACTATTTAGTACTATACTTTTTAGTAAATTGCTTGTCAAACAGAAACTGTGAATTGTATTTACTACATGTAGCTTGTATGCTGAAAGCAGCGACCCACTTTTCTGTTTATATATAGGAACAATAAAATTGAGAATGGAAATGGGGAATGTGTCAAAGAGACAACGACCCGACAATAGAGCAGACAACAGCCGAAGGCCACCAATGGGTCTTCAATGCAGCGAGAAACTCACGCACCCGGAGGTGTCCTTCAGCTGGCCCCTAAACAAATATGTATACTAGTTCAGCATACTTTTGTACATGTGCTATTAATCATAACAAAGACAACAGATATTTTTAACGACCTTATACATTGTATAAAACTTCTTATGAAAAATTCGTTCTAATTCATATGAATACAATAAAGTGAATTTAATAAAGTTATTCAAACGAGCAAAATTGACAACTTTTGATTACAAATTGATTTCTTTAACATTTAGCAATAAAGGAAACCTTAATTATATGATAAGGTCTGTAATAAGTTTGTATTGATACTTTATTCCATTATTGAAATAACTGGGACATGTGGGATATTGACATTCTGTTAAATATAATTATTTAGATCTTTACATTCATGAGTTATTAACTGATTCTCCGGGTGAAACCACTCAAGGTGCGAAAGTCATTTAGAATGCATCATAAAAGTCAGACATGTCACACAGACAGGTCTGCCAGCCTTCACGATTTTTTGGGGATTTCCCCCATGAGCAATGATGAGAGGAGTTGACCTGAATTTTGAAATTCTTTATTATATAAACTGAACACCTCAAAACAGGCATTCAAATTAGTTAAAAGTGTATTTTCAAAAGCACATAAATGCTCATTCAAACAATATACATGATAGTAGTAGATTAAAAGCATGCACTTGTGACAATATAAGAAGAGCATTCTGACTCCTTTTGCGCTTAAAATCCCCCATGGAGATTTGGAATAAACAGCTGCGCCATGAACGCATGATACACCCGTCATCTTGTCTGAGCATTTTTATGCAATAATCATAAATAGTTTCTGACATACGGCCTGACATGCGAAAACCCCCTTTTTTTTTACAAAAAACTCAATATCTCTAAAATAAAATTTTGAATCAAAACCAAAAAGTATACAGGTCTTTAGATTAATATAACTAAGAAGTGTGTAAAATTTTAAGCAATAATCATAAATCGTTTTTGAGATACGGCGCTACATGTGAAAACCCCCCTTTTTAAAAAAAAAAAATCAATATCTCAAAAATAAAATTTTGAATCAAAACCAAAAAGTGTACAGATCTTTAGATTAATATAACTAAGAAGTGTGTAAAATTTTAAGCAATAATCATAAATCGTTTTTGAGATACAGCGCGACATGTGAAAAACCCCTCCCCTTTTTTTTACAAAATACTCAATAACTCAAAAATAAAATTTTGAATCATCACCAAAAAGTATACAGATCTTGAGATTAATATAACTAAGAAGTGTGTAAAGTTTTAAGCAATAATCATAAATTGTTTTTGAGATACAGCGCGACATGTGAAAAACCCCTCCCCCTTTTTTAACAAAATACTCAATATCTCTAAAATAAAATTTTGAATCATCACCAAAAAGTATACAGATCTTAAGATTAATATAACTAAGAAGTGTGTAAAGTTTTAAGCAATAATCATAAATTGTTTTTGAGATACGGTGCGACATGTGAAAAAAAAAAACCACACACCTGTTTTAGTTACTAAGTCCTGTAACTCAAAAAGTTTTAATCTTATTTTCACCAAAAAGTATTCAGATCGTTTGACCATCATAAGAAACAACTATGATAAGTTTCATGAAATTTGGATAAGTCATTCTCAAGTTACGGTGCGACATGTTTACACCGGACAGACAGACGGACAGACGACATTTGTATACCATAATAAGTCCTGTCAAAATTTTGACGGGCGTATAAAAATTGGCAGGTATGTGTCACAGGTTTAATACACCAATATTCCCAAAAAAATTATATTTTACACGGCAAGATTTCAAATATTTCCATTTCTGATGAGGTTAGCGAAAAGCGCTATCAGGTGGCTATGGAGGCACCAAATGATTTAAATCCAATGTTTCCTTTTTTGTCGAGCCTTCGACTTTTGTCGAAAAAGCAAGACATAGCGATCCTACATTCCGTCGGCGTCGTCGTCGGCGGCGTCCACAAATATTCACTCTGTGGTTAAAGTTTTTGAAATTTTAATAACTTTCTTAAACTATCCTGGATTTCTACCAAACTTTGACAGAAGCTTGTTTATGATCATAAGATAATATTCAAAAGTAAATTTTGTAAAAAAAAATTCCATTTTTTCCGTATTTTACTTATAAATGGACTTAGTTTTTCTGCCAAGAAACATTACATTCACTCTGTGGTTGAAGTTTTTGAAATTTTAATAACTTTCTTAAACTATCCTGGATTTCTACCAAACATGGAAAGAAGCTTGTTTATGATCATAAGATAGTATCCAGAAGTAAATTTTGTAAAAAAAAAAATCCATTTTTTCCGTATTTTACTTATAAATGGACTTAGTTTTTCTGCCAGTTAACATTACATTCACTCAGTGGTTAAAGTTTTTAAAATTTTAACAACTTTCTCAAACTATCCTGGATTTGTACCAAACTTGGACAGAAGCTTGTTTATGATTAAAAGCTAGTATCTAGAAGGAAATTTTGTTAAAATTTTGTTTGATTTTTTCCGTATTTTACTTATAAATGGACTTTGTTTTTCTTCCAGTTAACATTACATACAGTCTGCAGTTTAAGTTTTTAAAACATTTATTAGATTTATAAACTATCCTGGATTTTTACCAAACTTGGACAGAAGCTACTAACAATCAAAAGATAGTATAGAGAGGAATATTTTTATTTATTTTTTTCCTCATTTTTGTTGAGCCTGCGATTAACAGCAAAAGTAGGCGAGACACTGGGTTCCGCGGAACCCTTACGAATTTTTTAAAGTCTTTAAGTGACTGAGGTTCATTTAGAATTGTACATATCGCAGTTTATATTCTTAATTATCTTGTTTTTATGTTTAAAGTAAATGAATTCAATTCAACATACTATTATTTTCTAGACAGCGACATTTATGTCGTGAAAGCGAGACATATCGATCCTAGAGGCAGCGACAACAACATTGAGGTTCAGTCTGTGGTTAAAGTTTTTTTAGACATCAATAACTTTGTCAAACCTTCATGCAATTTTAGGAAATTTGGACAGATTTAACTTGTTTATTAATGATAAGCATTTCATTTTATTTCACAGATATTTTTCTTTTACTGAAGTGCCAATCACATGCTGCCTTGACTTTTATGTGCAATAGTCATGACAAAGAGATTCAATTCACGTCGTGTTGGAAACACTACAATCAAAACTTTAGAAAAACAACCAATCAAATTTGCAGCTGCCATATGTCCTCTTAATTTAGAAGAGCAGAAAGAGAGATTCTTGAAGTTTGGAAAACTACCAAAATTTGTTTTGAAAGGTTCAGAGGATGAGATTGAAAATTTATTCAACAAGGCTCGTAACCAGATCCGATTTGACTTATTTGGTGAAGCTGAGTACATTTTAAAAACGGTTAAGGAGAAATATGGTGATGGAGATAATTACCTTGCAGCACAGTTTGGTGATAAGATTACCAAAGAGGAGGCAACTCAAATACTGGAGCAATATCTTAGGGAGAACAATCTAGATGGTGCTATGAGTATAGTATGGTGTGCTGATTTAGCTTCCAGGTAATTAATGAAACTTTTAACTTTCACATATATAGATTCCACCACTGCATCAAGTGTGTTACAATATTTCTCCACTCGAGACAGTTAAATTTTAATATTGAAAGCGCAAGGCTTGCTGAGCTTTTTGAATTATTAAAATTTAAATGTTGAGAGTGGAGAAATATGGTAATACACAAGTCATAGTGGTGGAATCTGTTTTTCTAATGATTTTTAGAACAAAGTTTATCCTTTCTTTTCAAAGATTTGCAGAAAGTTGTGTTCTTTATATGTGACGTCATCAGGCATGGTCGCCTTTTTTCATGACACCAATATTAAGGAAATTCAGAAGAAACCAAGAAAATTTGACATCATAATGAAATTTCAACCAATCATTTGCTGAGAACAAAGTTTTCTCTAGAGATGAGAAACATTTTTCTCAAACCGATCGAGAATTGTGAAAAAAGCATGAAAATTAGAAAAAAAAATATTTCTTGCCATTTTGTCATGCCAGTTGTTGACTTTTTTGAATTTCAGCACTTAAAAATTATTTAAATAAAAATGAGTTGTGATTCTGATATGATTGCCGATATGCCTATATGCCAAAATATTTTAATAAATTTCCACAAAAAAATAAGTACATGTATTAACCTGTCTATGTTGTCCTTTTGAATAAATGTCGTGAGAAAACAATTTTTCAGAGATAAATGTAGACTTTGAAACATATTATATATATCCAAACAAAAATTATATAATGTCTTCCAAATTTAAATTTAATAGAAGCAAAATTTATTTTTCATTCACACACTTCAATCTTCTTATCAATAATTTTATTGAATTTTCTGTCAAAGTAAAGTTTAATGACAGAAATTCAAAAGACCCTTGATGTTTGTCAACAAAGCTTGTATTTATGTTATTTGCATACTGTCATTCATTCTAATGAAATTGACCATAAAAGATTGAAAGGTTGTGATGCATACATTTCACAAATTTATACAAAATGTATTTAGATAGCCTCCTTTATGTATATATCAAATATTTGTTCTGCGGATATAGACTATTTAGATTTAAACATTGATGAAATTAAACAAAAGAACTGCTGATTAGTAGAATTAAAGAATTAAATTTATTATAATGTTTAATAAATAAACCATGTTAACCAGATCAAATCTATGAAAAATTACAATGATGGCTTTTGATAGATATCAGTACAAATGTATTAATAATCTAGACTGAATTAAATTGTTATCATTATAATATATGAAAAAAAATGAACATAGTAAAAAGGCTGAAAAGATTGAAACATACAATACATATTTGTGTTTTAAGGCTTATCTAGATATAGATGTGTCATAAGAGATAAGGCACTATTTATTTTTATACCACATGTGCCTTTTTACCTCTTCCCTCTTCCCCAATATTGATATTTTATAGAAAGCCCTATTATAGTTTTTATTTATAAAAAGGAGAGCTTATTGCATCTCTATGATGTCAATCACCCCAATGATAGTACTATAAAAAAGAGACAAAGGATACCAAAGGGACATTCAAACTCATAAGTCAAAAATAATCTGACAACGCCATGGCTAAAAAAGAAAAAGACAAACAGACAAACAACAGTATACATAACACAACGTAGAAAACTAAAGACTGTGAAAAACGAACCCCACCAAAAACTTGGGGTGATCTCAGGTACTCCTGAAAGGTAAGCAGATCCTGCTCCACATATAAGTGACATTGTAAATATTAATACAGGATATGTACATGTATAAAGGTGTTTGACACCATTGACAAACACAAAAAAATTCTAAAAAAAAACAACTAAAATTCAGCAATAGAGATCTGCTAATTATGATTTTTGACTATGGATTGGCATATATATATGAACATTGTAATGGGTTAAACTAGTATTGCGAGTGTTCAACCTCCCCCCCTTTTTTTAACCTCTTTCAGTGTAATAATATAAAATACAAATAATGTATGAAAAAAATCAAAATCAGAAAAAGTGTTTACCTTTAAAATATTGAACACCTACTCTTGAAGTTTGCTCTATTGCATTCACTTTGTCTGTCAGTTCATTCAACAAATATTTCTGTCACATTTTTCTCAGATGCTATAAAAAGGAATAACTTTATATTTGTTCAGCAGGGTAAAGGTGATGAGTTGTATTATGTGAGCACTTTTGGGATCTGTCAGACACTTACATGTACTTCCTACTAGACCATCACAAAGATATTTAAAAAAATCACATTTTCATGAAAATTCAACTGGAAAAATGTAAATGAAAATATTTTCTTTATAAGCTACATGTACATCTTTCCATGCTTACAGTAGACTTGATTTAATTTCAGTGCTCGCATGATGTGGATTGGACCCCACTGTAAACACAATAGACCAGAGGCCCGCAACTACTCATTCTGGATTAAGAATTCCACAGACAACAACTTCTTAAGGGAACAGGGTATTAGATGCCTAGCAGATCATGAAATAGGAACACATTTTGTATCCTTAAATCAATTTGTAATATCCCTCTAATATACATTATGGTGGCAGGGTGTGTTGCATTATAGGTTTTTGCCTGTGATTTTTTTATTGAGCATTTATGTATATATATAGGAAAAAACATAAAAAGGAGAAAACTTGAAATGGGCAATTGCAATTACCATATATATTTATATACAAGTCTAAATTGAAAACAACGTTCAAACCTATGATTGCGTTGGATAAAAACCGCAATTTTTATACGTGTGTATGCAAAACAAATTTCTTGGTAGAGGGGTCTAAATACAGCACAAACAACATTTTCCAAAAGACCAAAAAAGTGAAAAAGTATATTTTAACAAAATGCATTTGACTAGCCGGTCGAAATATATATATATATATATTTTTTTTTAAAAGACATCATTTTTTTCAAATTATTCAAATTCAAATGCAAGAACTTGAAATAGCCAGTCATTTATTGTCCAACATTACCTAATGTGAATACATTTCTGCCATTATGTATTACACAACATATTTTTTTAAGTGGGTTTCTTTTTTGATCCAGTACTGTGAAACTAGAAATTAAATGTGGAAAAAAAATTTTGAGCCAACATGGATCCGGAGTTAAATACATAAATTTTATACTTTTATATTTAAAAGAAATAATAAAAATTTGATGCAAATTGCTCATTATGTTGAACCTTTTTCCATTAAAAAATGCAATAATTCTCAATTTACTTAATTAGATGTTATTCCAAATAAACCTTTCATATTAGGAAAACATGGCAAGGATGTTCACTAGTAAGCACAGTATGAACATGCATTTAGGCCACACCAATTTGATTTGTGATCTTCGGTTTATATACAGAAACTTGATGTATTTTTCTACAGCTGTATTAAAGATATAACTTTTTTTTCAGGAATCAACTGACGTAATCTCTAAATACACAATTTTTGTAACACTGTGTACTAAAATCAGACTGGTGTGGCCTTAGTAGTTCTTTTTGTTGAAATATTTTTAAATCTTGTACCAATGGACACAGGCATATAATTGTAAACAGTGGAACCATTCTTGTTTTCTAGATTGGGTGATAACATTGAAGAAAGATTTTTCCATAAGACACTGACTCTTTATATCAATTTTTAAAACTTTGTATAAACAAAGATTTCATACAGAAAAAGTTTTGATAAAAAAAGCAGTCTTACTTTTGTCACAGTACAAATACTCTAGCTAGCTAGCTGTTCTAGCTAAACAGATTATTTGTCTTCCTAGTAAATACAAAGAAATAATCCTGTCAGCCATTTTACTTGGAGGTGTGGATGGGGAGGGGGTGTGAGGAGAGGGATTACTTGGCCATGATGAAGCCATATTACCAGAGTTTTGATCCTGTTTTAATAGAAGTTATATTTTCTGTCCCACTGTTATCAATGATTATTTCATCACTGACACATTATGTTAAGCTTATTCATTTATTTTTTGTTTATTTTGAAATTTAGTCATTGCTTGTAGTTGCTGATTTACACTGCACCTAGGATTTGCATATATTGAAATTGATCTACACTGCACTTGAGAATGGAGCTTTTATGTAGTTTTACAGCACAGATTTCAACGTGAATGCAGAAATTTTCAGCAATTTGAAGCAAAAATGATGAAAATTATAGTAAATGTGGAAAGTAGTAATAGCCAAATGACCTTGACCCTTTTAAATAACAATATAGTAATTGTGTTTGTTGCAATAATATAAATAATTAATTAAAAATTTTATAAGAAGGCTTTCAACTAACTTGTAAATCATGGCCTTGTCAGTTCGTTTTCGAGTTTTATTATCCCGTTGATATCTTTCGCCTCCCTTTTATAAACAAATATACCGCCTTTTTATGAAAATTATTTAAATAGCTTTTATGTTGTAGTGGTTAGCCAGCACATGCTTTTTTCCATAATCTCACAATACAATGTACTTGCATAACTATCAGTCAAGCCTCATTTTCAAAAAATCATTCACATTTTATTTTCATTTAGTAATAACTAATAAGGAGATATTAATCCTTGACCCATTAACACAGGTGCGTGCTTATAATGATGGATTTCAGCCTTGGTTTAGCAATAGAAAAAGGTTTAGTCTACGAGGTTCACAAATGACAACACTTCCAGCTATACGGTCTGAGGAAGGTTTGGCGGCCATTAACACTATAATGAACTCGCGAGTTAGATATCTTTGGCTTCCTGCTCTGCAATATTGTAAGTTTTTAAAACAAATTTTTTTTTGCAAAGAAAGTACTCCAGTTTTCACAAATAGATTTTTCTCTTTCTGACTATTTTTAAAAATTCATTCAGTTATTGTTTCATGTATTTATATACAGCATGTATTCTCTTTAGTTAAGTGGTACGACTGAGGCCAAGAATGAAATTTAAATTGTTTGATGTTGCCTATCTACCCACCTTAAAAGCAGCCTACCCGAAAAATTTTATGACAGATCATTTCAAATATTTTTTATTTAAAGATTTTTCCTGCTCTAACATCGTTTTCTTGTTTTGAACATGTAACTTATGTTCTTGGCCTGAAAAAAAATAAATAAAATCCCTAGCTACCTACCTAACCTTACAAGGCATGGATAGGCAACATCAGACAAAGAATTTCTTAAGGGTGGCCTGATTAACCTATTGAATGATTCATGCAGTAATAGTGCTAAGGTTTGCAGTTGTTATTATGATCTTCAGTTATAACATAGCTTGGAGTCCTAAAATTCTAAAATTGTGATTAGAAAACTTTATGGCCAAGGTCAATATCAGTAGTATTCAGATTCATTAGATTTTTTTATGAAAATTGAAAGAAAGAAAAAATTGCATTTTATAAAAGTTTTCATAATGCATACAGTTAAATTTTGTTTTTTGTTTTTAGATTTTAAGACTCAGGCCATATAAGTTTTTTTTATTGATTTAAGGATGAATATTAAACTCTTGTAAAATCTATATGAAAAATGGAGTACTTTCGTAGAGAGCATTAGCATGATTAGCTAATGGGCTTTGTTTGTGTGGAAAAAAGATGGTCATAATGGGAAAACAAAAATATATTATTAATATAAGTATTATTTTATATATATTCTCCACAGATCTTTGCAGTACTGTAAGCATGCATCTGTAGAAATTATCTTCAGAGTAAGATTTTCAGCATCTCACATTCAAAGAACATTTTGACATTAGGTTTTAGTGTTTTCTTTTCCAAGGTTTTGAAGTCCATCACAAGTACGATTATAACTTCATACCATTTTAGTAACATACCTATTTTGATTTAACTTGTAAGATTTTCTTCACATAAAATGTGCACTAGTTCATAACCTGACCAATTTACTGATGTTTTGTCTTACAATTTAACATTGTAAACCATTTTTTTAAATTTTTCATCAAATTTGGTGTCTCAGAATCTAATGCATTCTGGATGATATCTTCATAAGCATACACAGAAATTTTTTGATTGGTTAATGATATCTTAAACAATGGATGTAAAGGTATTTTAATATACGAACACTGAAATTACCCAAAATCCTTTAGATTCTGAAACAGCAAATTTTTCAATACTAGCTTTAAACTATTTTAGAAAATCTGCTTAACTTTTAATCCTTGACTAACCAATAGTTGCGGTCTAGCAATGAAGGTGTTCAACCATGGTATTCTGATAGGAAAAGATTCCACCTCAGAGACCAAAACACCCTAGAAGGATTGGCATCTGAAGAAGGCCTTGCTGCCATTCATTCAATATTTAATGCTAATGTTAGGTACCTATGGCTACCAGCTCTCCAGTATTGTAAGTCTAGTACCATTTTGCAAAATAAGATACTGCACAGTGGTGTGATATTAATACATTGGATTAAATAAGTCATTTTGCATGTTTGGATCTCTTAGACATATACTAAGATATAGAATGAAAAAAATAAATGATAATGAATTGCATAAAGCAAGGAACAATAAAAAAAATATGCTGTATATCATATTTGTTTTTAGTTTATTGTTTTGTACACAAATCAGGCCATTAGTTTTCTCATTTGAATCATTTTGGGGCATGTTATAACTTAGAATGCAGTATGAGTTTTGCTATTTGTTGAATGCCCTATGATGAGCTATAGTTGCTAACTTCTATGTCATTTGGCCTCTTATGAAGAGTTGTCTCTTTGGCAATTATACCACATCTTCTTGTTTTTATAAGGAAAATGAAAAGATCTGACAAAAGCCAAAAAATCAAAACTGTATCAATTGGCGAAACAAGCCCATTCCTTCTGAAGAATGATAAGGACTTCCACAAGGCTTTTTTTCAAATGTATATAAGTCTTTTATTGTCTAGGGGGGGTCGGAGGGGTCCTGATCCCGAAATCCTGGGCTTAAAAACATGAAATCCTGAGGTCTCGAATTTAAAGAAATTTAAATATAAGTCTTTGATTGTCTAGGGGGGGGGGGGGGGGGGTCCTGATCCCAAAATCCCGGGCTTAAAAACATGAAATCCCGAGGTCCCAAATTTAAAGAAATTTAAATCCCGACATCCTGAAATTCGAAAAAAGAATTCCCGGATCTCGAAAGGATCAATCCAGAAATCCCAAGCTTAAAAACACCCGATCCCGGAGTCCCGATAAAGGTCCTACCCCCCCTCATTGTCCAATTGAACTAAAATTTTCAATTCATGTTTTCCTGATCTTGAGGACAGTTTAGGTATAGAAATATGGCTCTCTGGACATGATAAGTTAAACTGTATATATATTTGCTGCTGGAGTTTATTGATAGTATAGTGTGACAAGTGAAAGTTTTTATGTTTGTAATTGTTTTTATAGTACTGTTTATTGTCTTGCGACTATGCATTTTAAGAATAAATAGTGATTGAATGACAATAACAAATACTTGGCAAACTTGCCACATGCACTTAATGGCAATTTAAATTTGCCACTTGTACTAGCTGGCTATTTAAAATTCCATGACAGTTTTGTGTCCAAATTAAGGATTAGAATAGCTGTGCAAAACAAGTTATTTGACAGAAAAAAACTAATTGCAACTCCTATTAAAAGAATGCCTTGATTATCAACTCTATAGTATTTTTGACAAGCATGTGATTGAATTTGTATTAATATCCATTTATGTTACAGGTTCACATCAGACTGGATTTATGATATCTTGGAATAATATTCCATCCATGTACATTTCAATTCATCAATCATTATTCTGTAAACATTGTAGGCTAAGGAGATACTGCGAACAGTATGGCAGCTTATCATTAGTTCATGGGAAGTTCTTAATTCTTTTTTTCAGCTGTCATCTGTATGTTTTTTAAAGAAAATTTGTCAAAAAATGTTGTAGTTAGCGAAAGTTATGTATACATGTACATACTTTTGTTTTAATTACCATTAAATTTTGTTTTTGCACTTGTTTCCTTGACCACTGCACAGTTTCGATCATTTAATGATGGCCTACAACCTTGGTATAGTGACCGGAAAAGATTTGATCTCAGAGGAAGAAATTGTTTAGAAGAATTAAGAGCAGAAGAGGGCCTTGCTGCAATAAACACTATATTAAATGCAAAAACCAGGTTCCTTTGGGGGCCAGCTCTTTTATACTGTAAGTTTTCTTTCTTTGTATCCCTCATATCTTTCTTGTTATTTATTACCATCTAACATAGTGCATGTATCTTTGATTTTTGCATCATCTTTGTATGCATGAATATATGATCACTTCAAAATGCATTATTTATCTTTAATGTATTTTAAAACACTAATCTTTCTCTTGTCTAGAAGTTATACCTGATATCTGTTTCTTTATTTCTACCATGGTTTGCTGTTTTACTTATTCAATAACCCTTGCTTCTTAACCATTTTATATATGAATTTGTAAATGCTATATCATTGACCAAGAAACTGCTATATACTATTCTCATAACATTGCATAGCTTAGACTTTATCATAGAATACATGTACCTACTTTATACTGTTTGAAATCACCAGTACCTAGTTCATGTTGTCTATCAAGCTCTGTTTGAATATTGCTAAAGAGTAACAGCTTGATTCAAGGGACTTTTTCTTATATTTACTTGTAATCTGATTAGCAATTTTGTATTCAACAATCAAGTTTTTATACTGTGAAGGATATCAAACCTTTCCCCAGAATCAGTTGGAGTTTACCTGTCCATTTAATTTTTTTGCAAAGTGTTAGTTCTGTCCCATTGAATAAATACAATAGCTATTGTTTTCTTTGGAGATCATTCAATAGGAACTTTAAATTTCTCCTTGAAAAAAAAACATCCATTGATTCATTTGGCTGTACAAAAAAAATAAACTCATAGTGATGAAAATACATATATCATTACTGAAATATGACACATCCTGTCAGATTAAGAGATAATAATTACAAAATTATGCCAATAAGGACAGTACACTTTGCATGAATTTAAGTGGACAGGTAAACTCCAACTGATTCTTGGGAAAGGGTTGATTGCCTTTACAATAAGAACAGCCTTCAGATTGAATAGACCCAGTCTTCGCACTCAACCACAGGTCCACCAGCCCAGGCTTGTAAAAATGCTGTCGGGCCTGTAAAAATCATATCTACAGGCCAATATAATCTAACTAAAATTTTCGTAAAATTCAGCTTCGGGCCTGTAGATTCAAAAGTTTAGCGTGAAGACTGTTAAGACCTGTTGCAAGAAAATATGGACTTGGTTTAGATGTTTTCACAATCGCATATTTTCATTTACTCACATGTATTTTCTAGCTTTACATATTACTGTTGTATTTTTCAGTGGTTAACCCTAGCTCTCTTCAGTGGGTTTCTATTTAAAGAAGTTGTTGTACTAATTTCTTTATCTTGCATGGATTTTGCATTTTAACGTTTAAATGCATGCTGTCATTGTGTGGAGGGATTATTTATCCATTTAAAGTTTGTTAGTTATTTAGCATGTTTAGTGTACTTTTACTGGGATATAATGTTTTTCATATTATCATTACCTTATTGTCCTTCAACATTTAAGAATGATTTAGGTGTTACTAGTATTATAAGCTGATCTGAACAAGATGAACATCCTATTTGCAACTCTTACTTTTCTGAAAGTTTTACTGAAAAAATTTAGTCATCATGTAAATGATGTAAAATCTGAGAAGGAAATGTTAATTAATATTAATACAGGATGTATTTTATAGATAAAAATATGTTATGGCTAAGTTAATATCTGAAATACACATTTCACAATATATAATTGATTTTTATGCCGCCAATGTAGGCAATGGGGCATGATTAAGTGTTACCCTTGACCCTTTAATAGCCTTTCCGTCCGTCCCATATTTGTTTCTACACTCTAACTAAAGTTTGCCTCGTGCAAATTTTATGAAACTCATACACAATGCTAAGAAACAAAACTAGCAGACAGAGTTCGATTTGGTTGTGAGTTGTTTACCGTTATGGAGTTATGTCCATTTTTAACTTGGAAAATTGCAAAGCTTGAGCTTGGGCATTGGTGTCCTCAGACACATTCTCCTTTTATTAGTAAATTACTAAATTTTGTAAAGATATTCAATTTTTCGATTAACTGTAGTAATAAAGTCTATAAGTGTGAACCTTGTAATGTATAGTACTCCAAAACAACTGTATTAATACTTATAATTCTAATAAAATGGACTAAAATTATGTCCAGATAAAAAAATTCATCAACATTTTCATCACTTTTTTTTTTTTTTTGTGTAGGAATTCATACTTGTGATGTCATGAAACTGGATTATTTGTTGGTCTGAATGGGTTTTACAGAATAGAGCCTAATGGCCAAAAAAGTGCAAAATAAAGGGGAAAATAAAGAATATAGAAAAATACTAAAAATAAAAAAGAATAAGGAAAAATTTTGGAAAAGTTAAAAAAAAAAAAAAAAAAGAAGAAATGAAGGACCCCCATCCAGGTCCTCTTACATGTGTATATACATTTTTTCACATGAGGCTCACCAATGAAATCAGACTTGACATACTACATTGGAAATAATTATATGTAGATATATCTGGTGAATTTTCAGAATGTCATGATTTCTTCATAAAAAATTTCTGTATCACCTCAATAGCTTTGCTCCTGGGCATGAATTATTTAAGGGTAAATACCAGTTTTAAGTAGGATAAACCCGTATACCATCCTGCTGGATAAAAATATTTGATATATATTCAGGTTTAATATTTAAAAGTTCTGGATTTTCATTGTTGGTAAGAAATATGTGTCATATGACTTTCACTGGATGTTGGTTTTTTTTTTTACATATGAATATATTGAATTATCAAGATCTTGAAAGCTGGAATCTTTTTTTTTTTTTAAATCCTACTAGCAATGTCAAGGTAAAACTAATTGAAAAAAAAATTGCCTTTTTGCATATTCCTTTATTCTGTGTTTCCAATTTTTTTATCTTTTGGATAAGAAATGTTGTGTGACATATGATTTTTGAGTCAATTTCATTGTGGCATATTTATCTCAACATCCGAGGAAAATTAGAAGTAGTTCTTCAGTTGAAAATTGTTATAACCATGTTGAAAATAATTAAAAAACCAAAAAAAAGAAAATTATTATTTTTTGTTTCAATGTTTTACAGACACAGCTTGTAAAGCGGCAGAGATGACATTTAAACAATTATATGATCATCTGACCATTTATGTCAAAAGTCCTGAACATCGCTGGAGACTTTGTATGCGAGTCAAACGGGGACTTCTAGATCCTAATGACTTAGGAGGTTATGGAAAAGATCAGTGCTATTTTGAAGGTAATACTGATAAAATATTTTGTAAATATTGTGCTACTTAATGAAATCACAACAGAAAAGAACAATACAGTGGATTCATTATAATTTGTAGGGTACCAATTTTCGTGTATTACGTCTTAAAAGGTTAACCATGAATTTAAATGTTAACGAAGAATAGTTTGAATATAGGCTAGTATGCAGACTTGGGCAAAACCAAGAAATCAATTATAAACAAAAGTACACTTTTTTTCTCAATCCACAAAAATTCGTACTTTCGAAATATTTGAATCCACAATAAATAAAAGTGAACAGAAAAAAAACTACCGAATAAAGGCTTGTGTAGTCCATGGTTTTATTTTCCAAAGTTGAACCTGTCAGACAGGGGTGTGGACTATATATATATATAGAGTACGATAAGCAAGAAATGAGAAAAAATTTGATTTCGCAAGTTGGTTTGTTTACATACCGCCATGTTTGTTATTGATATTATAGAGGGCACTCATCATTTTCAAAACTATTAGTTTTACCTAATCCATATTAGTATGTTATTTTTATTCAATATCAAATATATACTGATAAAATTAAAAAATAATTGCTTCACTACAAATTTCTCGTTTCTTTTCACTGCATTGCTTATAAATAAACTGGAATCTGCTTGAATTTAATGGAATGAAAAAAGTATAAAAGTCAACAAGCAGTTTCAACTTCTATTTGATGATGGAAAAAAGTTTTTCCATGAAAATACCACAAACGACCACACATGATTTGAAATTACCGGAGTTTCATTAGACATTTTCTAACAGTTACAAAAGTTTTTTTACCTGAAATTTCGTGGCGAGAAGGAGGGTGCAGACAATGTACCAGTGTGAACTATACAAGCCCGATTATGGTATGCCAGCAGATCATCCAATCATTAAAAGATCTTCCAATTTATTTGTGTAGAATTTAATATTTGGTGAAATTTCTTCATGAAATTTTATATCTTTCAGGAGCTGTTTAAATACTGAGCTGTTTGGACATGCTAGATTTTAATGTAATGCACTATTATGTCTTTCAGGAGCTGTTGAAATACTGAGGGGTTTGGACATTTTAGATTTTAATGTAATGAACTTTTAAATATTTCAGGATCTGTTTAAATACTGAGGAGTTTGGACATGCTAGATTTTAATGTAATGAACTGTTATGTCTTTCAGGAGCTGTTGAAATACTGAGGAGTTTGGACATGATAGATTTTAATGTAATGATGAGTGGGAAAATTTGTGTTGATGAAGTTCAAAGATGCAAACGCATAGCTCGCTTAGACTGTCTAAAATTGCCAGCATTCATGAAAAACGAAAATCGTTACAAAAAACATTTGAAATCAATTGCCCATTTAAATGGACTTGATTTGCACCATCAGAAAAAAAATGCGCCGGCAGCCTACATTAGGCGCCTTAAACAGGGAAGAAGAATAGGCACTGATAAGGTGAGACGAATTCGTAGAAGGCGTTTTAAAGGGGTCAAAACAGGTAGTCCCACAGGTAGTCTTTCCACAGATTCTGCCGGCAGTGAATATGAGGACTATTGTTATGGCAGTAGTGATTCTAGGGAAGGGGGAAGTCAAGTTGAATACACACCTGTAGAAAAGTTAGGTGACCAAACCAGCACAAAAGACCCAAGGGTTGATAGTGGTTTTGTTTCCCATTGTAGTAACCCTAATGAAAAAGCTGATACCATTTCTTTGAAATCTTTTGATTCTTCCTCAGTCAAATCATTTAAATCTTTAAAATCAGAAATATCTGTAAAATCAGAAATATCTGTAAAATCAGAAATATCTGTAAAATCAGAAATATCAGGGAAATCAAAAAGATCCTCAGATGTGTCAAACATCTCTCTAAAATCTCAAAAGTCAGATACCAAGTCCAGTACCTCAGTGACCTCTCAGAAGACATTTACGTCAAATTCATCCGTTAAGTTAAAATTAAAGCCACCAGTCAAACAAGATGATGAAGAAAATATTTCACAAAAAGCCTCTGCACAGTTGTCTTATACTAGTAATTTATCCAATAATAATAATGCATGGACTACACCAGGAAGAAAGGACATGCTGCCCCCTCTTTTGTCCCTCACAGAAGAACAAAAATCTTGGATGTCCTCAACAAATGGAACATTACAACTCCACAAACAACCGTTACCTTCAGCTTTCAATCATAATGTGTGTACGACTATCATATCTAGTGAAGATGCAGGAGAATGTTCATCAAGTGATAAAACAAATAAAGGGTCAAGGTCAGCTAGAACAATGGAAGGTGGTGATCTGGGTGATATCTTCAAACATAAGAGTGAAAAGTCTGAGGTAATGCTTCAAAAAGAGCTAGATGACAGTCATGTTGTGGACTTTTCTTCATTAACAAACTCTGGTGTGATTAGGACTAAATCTATGTCAGCCAATAAGAACTCTGTATTTCATTCACCTTCTGAAGATTCTTCTGAAAATGGACAAAATATTATGGAATATGGACCAGAAAAATTTATATATCCAGATCTCAGTTCTTATTTTGATTCAGATTTTAATAGCTTTCAAAATCCATTTTTTCAATTATCCCAGAATAAGTTTAAAGATAACACAAATTTGCTTGCTAAAAGAAGAACGAAATCTGCATGTAGCAGACGCACAAACAACACAGCATGATACAAGATGTAACAAAATGTGTATGAATGCCATAGTTATAAAGTCTAGATTGAAGCAGTTTACTTAAACACTTTTTTGAATTATTATGTCGTGATTCTCTTTTATAAGTACGGATATTGATAGGTCAGTATATTTTTTAAACATTTCAGCATTATAACTTACTAAAAAATAAAATTTTGTATCAGCTTTCCGTATGTATAAGGTTACAAGAATTCAGGAACTAGAAATGTTTTTATTTTGATTATATCTTCTTTTCTGAAATTTGGCTGTTAATTATATAAGTTCATTTTTATTATAAGATCAAAATAAATTCTTATTTTGGAGAAGAAATTTATACTGAATCATGGGAACAAAATTTTAAGGCTATATTTTTTTCTTAACATATAGATACTTTCTTGAATGTTTAGGAACTAAGCAAACTTTTTTAATTGAAAATAAAATATAACAAAGATAGATACTCACCTTTGAAAAGCAAGGACCAGCTGGGAAAAAAATTAGACCAGTTTCTGGTATTGTTAGCATGTATATTGCATTTATTTTTAACTTGTTAATATATGTATTAAAGAGCTTTATTTTAAAGTGCCATTGTTTTATACCAGATGTATATTTTTGTAGTGCTATTTAAGAAAGACTGCATTTTTATATGGATCAGTATTAGATTCAGGTTTTATTATACATAACCTTATACATTATTTGAAAAAAAATAGTTGCTTCATGCATTTGAGAATGGTTCATATGAAATACAGGGTAGAATTAATTACTCTAACCTTTAGAATATTGATGCTGGACATTTTAGTTGCTGATATGAACTTTTTATTTATAGAAACTTTTGGAGGCTTTTTTTTATTTTAAAGGAGTAATTCCATTTTTTTCAAGAATTCATGAAAACTTTTAATAGATTATGTCACTGAAATGTCCACTTATAATTTGGTAATTCACTAAAATATACTGTTTTCTTTGAAATCTTGTATACTTATTCTCATAAAAACGGTTTATAGGATCAACCATATTACTCGAGAATTTGACTTTGGAAAAGAAGAAGAGATATTGAAACACAATCAGAGATTACTTTAGATAAAAAAAAATATACAAAAATAAAATTCTTCTTTGGAGAGTTTAATGGTTGATATATTAATTTTACTATTTTCCTTATTTCAATGACTGTAAGTTATTGGATTTACAAATTAAATACTAATGTTTCAATACTTTTCACCATGTATTTTATAGTCAGTTAGGTTAAAAGAATTGGCATTTATGTCCTTTCTGTTAGTTTGTCTGTTCATTAGTTAAACATTTCCGAATTTTCTAATTTGATCTCACCATGAATATGATTAAACTAAAATATTTGTAATCTTCAACAATATTTAGATGAAGATTTTTAAAATTAGAAAAACTCTCAAACTTAACTTAAAAGAGTAGATATTACATATCCAGTGAAATTATCAGATTCAAATATCTTTTATAAGTTTCATGATTCTTTTTAATAAAGACTTTTTTGTAATTCCATAAAAGACATACAAAAAAAAATAAAATTTAAACATTTGAATAAACTTGCTCTGGAAATAATTTAACCCATCTTTCATAATTTATTTACCATTTTCATCAGCTTTCATTCCTCTTGGTAGAAAAATATTTCTAAGCATGAACTTTTTTACATGAGAATTTTACATTGAAAAATTTAAGGATTTAAGATTTCATATCAAAAACAAAATTTGAATTTGTTTATAAGATTTTAACACCTTTTGCATGGATTTTCATGACTTTTGGTGGAACTAAGACTAATATTTTTTCAATATAGTAATAATTTGATATTACAGGAAGTTTTTAAATTTGATATTTTCCAAATTTAGGATTGCATGGTGTATGTTTTAATGTATTCTGAACATTATATAGCCAATGACACATTTCCACCAGATGGCAGTGTTTCCTGTTGCTATATCTTTCAAAACATAGGTTACCCAATAAAATGTTAATATAAAATTTCAACAAATAATTCCCTTACACTTAAAATTTATGGTGCCATTGTTTAAATACACTATCCCTGTGTTAGCTGTGTAGCATGAAAGTGCTTGATACAGAATTTCCATGTTCTAAAATTAGTTAGAGCCTTTTGTATTTTTTTTTTACATTGTTGAGAACTGCTGACTCAACATTATTGATTGTCTGTCATGAGAAGAGAGTGTCCTTGACCTATATTGTCCTGATTTTTCAGCAAATTTTTTTTATCAATTTGAATTATTGCCAATATTCTTTATATGAAGTGATGTATGATTACATTTGTCAATCAGGAACTATTTTTAAGATGCAGTAAATAACAAGAAAGATATTATTATCTCCCCTTTGTGCCTGGAAAACTTTAAGAAGAATATACACTGCTGTAACAATTTGTAAAAGCAGAGACATATATACATATATATATATGTGTATATATGTCTCTGGTAAAAGTATTTGTTTTCTTAAGTGCTGCGCTTGTTAATAAGAGTAAGATGAAGAAAACTTATTTCTTAAATTAAAAAAATTGATGTATGTATTTTTGTTTAAACATTATTAATTATGTTTTTTTACTTGTTATAGAAGAATATAGTTCTTTGTCTAGTCATTTTTATACTCATAGTGCATTTACATTAAAATTTATTTTGTTAATTATAAGGTGTGTTTTATTTTGTGTAAGGATTTATATGACTTGATTTAGTTGTTGATATACAAATGGAGAAAATGAATCAAACAGAAAATTTCTTTTCAGAGTTTTTATCATATATTAATAATGAGAAAAAACAAGATAAAGGGGAATAACTCTTGCTTTCTTATCACAAATTCTTAATGAGTGTTTAATATTTTTACGATTGATGAAATCTGAAAAAAATAAACAAAGTGTGAGTATTATTCATCAAAGCAGTTCATCAATGTAACAATGCTTTCACTGGACATGTATCTGTAAAGTAATTTAACAAGTCCTGTTTTACAACACGACACATGCACACAAATTACATACACACTATCACATCTGTAAAAAAAGCAATCTTATTGAAATTAGTTATTCGCTTTTGCTCCTCATATTTCGATTGGTTGTTTTGTCGCACCACATGTGATATATAAACAACCGAACAAAAATGAGGAGCAAGTGCGTAGAACTTATTTTTAATTTGACACAAAAAATGTTTTATCTAATCACAAATAACTGTTAAAATTATCACCCTATCTTTACAGCGATCACTCAATGGTTTCATTCTCTTTGATGAGGATGATGATTTCGATTATGCATCAGTAGGTATTCATTTCCTCTCGCTTGTCATTGTCATGTGTTGGAACTTTGGCAAAGTTGTTTCTTTTGTCAGTTTGAACTAATTTTAATCAGATTTATTAACTGCTTGAAAAACATCTTTACATTTGAAGGTCGAAATGAATACATATATGAGAGTCTGGATGGGGGTTTACAGAATAGTGAATAGTAGACAAAAAGGAGGGTCTGGATGGGGGTTTACAGTACAGTGAATAGTAGACAAAAAGGAGGGTCTGGATGGGGGTTTACAGAATAGTGAATAGTAGACAAAAAGTGCAGAATAAAGGACAAAAAAGTAAAGAAAAGAGAATAATGGGCAAAATGAAAAAAAAATGGTTTATAAAATTAAAGAATTAAGAAATGAAGGACCCCCCATTCAGACCGTCATGTATATTTGTGGTTGCTTAATTAAAAGGGTTTTGTATTAGAAAGATTGGTTAATCTCAAAGACCTGGCATTGGCCCTTTCAATGCTTTGAATATGGTTGTATTGTATTTCAGTTCATAAACAACTATTAGTGAAGGGGGTTATGAAAAGAGAACTCACTACTAATCAAATTGAATGGTGTTTTGCTTACTAAAATAACTTGCTGTTTATTTGGAAAAATTTAATTAGTTTTGTATTTTATATGGCTGAATGCTATCTGGTCTCTTCTAACAGATGTAGTATACTTGGAAAATAACAGAATATGTCCAGATGAAAATTAGTATATATTTAGAAAATGGCCTACACAAATAGTGTTTATTCCAACAAAGTTTTGTTATAAAAGCATAACAACACGAAACATGTAACAAATGACTTTTACCTGCTATTATATATACATTGTATATCATAGAAACTGCAATATCAGGTGGCTCATTGTTCAACTACAGCCATTTGATTTGTGTTCCTATATCATTAATGAGAAATAATTATTTTAACCTTTTTGAATTTATGTTAGGCCATGAGAAATTATCTATAAGATTTCCTATCCCAAAAAATTTCAATCAAAATTTTTTAAATTGAAATTTTATTGTTTTGAAAAAAGAGCCTTTAGTTACAGTTATGTTTTACTTTCTTTTTCAGAAAGGCTGTTGGCCTCTAAGGTTAATATGCAAATAGGTAATAGTTTCTTTGTAACTCTACACATTGTTAATGTCCTAGTATATAGCTAGTCAAGACTTTTGTGTGTGCTTTTTTTTACAAAAAACCCAGTGTTTTATTGGTGGAAGAACAATTCTCTCAGTGTGCAGAGCAAACATATTCATGAGTACAAATGATCTATTTGACAATATCTCCGACAAACATTTATTTGAAGATTATTTTATAAAGAGGTATTAATTGGTTTATTTTTTTAAGTATCCTGAAAGAAAACTGTTTTCCCAACTTAGGTGCTGGTCATTGCAAGATTCAGGCAACTTACGAATATGTGATACCTTTATCAGTAAAAACAAAATAAGCAGGTATTTTTTTATTTTGCACATTTTTTGCCAGAAGACTTTTCTTTTCTATAGTTTTAGTAATTTTGAATGAGTTATCTGCCCTTTTGGAGTGTTTTTTAAATTGCATTCTTTACTGTATTTTAAATTGCATTCTTTACTGTATTTTAAATTGCATTATGAACTGTATTTTAAATTGCACTCTTTATTGTTTTTTAAATTACAGCTTACTGAAATAAAAGATAAAAAGAATAATGTTATTTTATGAAGCAACATTTCATGACTATGAATGAGAAAAATGAATCGATTATGTTTCTAAAACTGCCTGATTGCTTATTATGACTAACACTTAAATAATTACTTGTTGGAAAGGGTGAGCACTTCAACCATGATTTTGGTCATTTATGAATTAAAGACAAAAGTGCTCTTTGATGACCAATTTTCTAAAAAAAAATGTCTCAATTTTAGATTGTTGCAGAATTTTATTTTTAAATATTTATTTTTGAAAACACAATTGCCTAAGTAAAACAGCACTATTCAGGTAAATTAACCATAGATTTACCTGGATTCTGCTTGAGCAAAATTGTCCAATGTGAGTTTTTTTAAAATAGTTTTTAAAACAATCAGAATAGAACTGCCTTCTTGCAAGAAAATAGACCAGTCATAATGGAGATAAATGAAACAAGAAATCGTTAAAGGAAATAAAATTTCCACTGATAAATTAATGAATAAAAGTGCCAAAAAAATATTTAATGATGACAGAAAATTATACCACAATTGTATTTTAAAAAGGAGAAATTAAAAAGAAGAAAAATCATTTGTGCTCGTGTGATATGCACATCAGTCATAATATTTACCTTTGTTATTTGTTATTTATAAACATTTAGTGCCAATAATGATGTTAGTTTTATTTTATATCTTTTTTTAATCATATTTCATAGATAACATCACAAATATCTATAATAGATTTAAATTAACCTTTGTATACTATACATACATAGAATCTCAAATGCTATACTCTTTTTCATTTATTTCGAAACTTTGACGCATCACTTTTTATGAATTTCAGTTAGGAACTTTATTTTAGTGCTATTGGTTTTATCGCTTTTTGGTTTTTAGTGATGTTTTATGGATGTCATAAATCATAGAAAATCGTCATGTATAAGAAGCATAAATTTGAAAGGACAGTATAAATTATTTCTTGATCAACATAAAAGTAACTTATAAAATGGTTATCATCATGGCTTTATTTGCCATCTATAGAAATAGAAAAAAAATAAGACATGAAAATCTCCTTTAATTTTTAACAACAACCCCCTCCCCCATTTCTCACATTTTAACATATTCAAGGTCCCAAACCTATATTGGAGATTTACAGACTTGTGAGATCATAACAAATTGACTAGCTCATAACCTGTTTCTGTCTAATGTTACTTATTCCCATACAATATAATGTATATCAATTTTGTGTAGACTGATTTAAGATTAAGGTGGTACATAACACTACAGGGAGATAACTCTGTAAAAATCAGCTGAACGTTTTAATCACGTTCTATTGTTAAGGAAATATTAAGCTTCTCAATGATCAAAATTAGTGTTTGTCAAACTGCTATATATCCAATGAAATTTTTCCAATAAAGTGTGTGGTTCAAGTTTTTTGAAATTTTTTTTAAAGGGTCAAAGTTAATATTTTCGTCCAAATTTTATGAAAATTAAAGGAGCCAAATTAATTTTAGTCAAGGTGTTTGGTACCATCTTAATTCATATCCTGGCTGCACTTTCAAGTTTCAAATTGTTAAAGCTTTTTTGGTAGCAAATTATAAACATAACATATTAAACTTTCTTGCCTTGTAATACATATCCTTATGCTTTAACATGAATGCAATATTGGGTTTTAGTTGCACAATTTATGTTTTTAAATTTTATTAGAATAACATAAACTTCCATTTTTAATGTTTAAAAACATCAGGAATCAAATCTCAAACTTATTTAAAAAAAAATTTAATATGGAGATTAAATTCTTGAAGTTTTTATTGTCATTTGAATTGATAGTCTCAGCTTTAATGTATTTAATAAAAATGAGATTATGACAAGAAATATTTGTAATTTCTGATTTATAAAGTTTAGTTCTTTTAAACTTATTTGCAGCAGTAGTAAATATTAAAGTTATGTCCCTTTTATATGAAAAATGATCATACTTTTATTCACATACAACGAAGTATACTTATCATTTAAAAAATAGATGACAGCATCAAAAGAAGTTGAAAATTAAGAAACTAAAAGTTAATGTGGTGATTAAATAACATTTTATTAGAATATTAAGCTATATAGTATTAAGGAAACTGTAAAACCATTGCACGTTTTACCAATGTTAGTCAGATAATTGACAGCATTATTTAAATTTGATTTGTTACAAAGATAGTGGCAGGATACATATCTTTTGGGTGTTTTTCATTGGGTTATTTTTTTTGTCTCAACGAAGCATTTTCTATGATTCACATTGAAATTTGTAATGATTTAGAGATGTAATCCACATCAACATTGTTTATTAAAAAAATGCTGCAGTAACCATGGAGATGAAAGATTACCATATCAAATTTAAACATAAATGTTTCTGTGACAGATTTGTGTTAGTAGATGCCATAAGTTTAACTATTCATTATTTTATTATATGCATTGTAGCTGAACACCAAAGAATTATTTATTTATCATGATTTTAATATTTGTGCTGAATTTGTTGAGTTTAAAAAATCAATCTTGTATAAATTTCAAAGTACATTTGCACTTTATTGTCAAAAATTGGAACACTTTTACCAAAAGTACCTCATGTTTTTATATGTTATCTTTGTATACTTGGTGATTAGGAAATTTTGTTTAACTATTGTAATTGAAATTAATTCTTTGCTCTAAGAAAGGATTATAGCATTAAGGCCTGATTTTGTCACAAATTAATGAAGATTTTCAGAACTAAATTATTTGCCATGGTAACTCGTCAAATGTGGAAATTGTTTTTATTTTCTTAACACATTTTACCTTAGGATTGTTTGGACAAATTTAAGATCACACAAGGTAACTTTTTAATTTGCACAAATATTTGGGCCATATAAGGGCCTTATTGCTCCTACTCCTTTCATTGGATGTCTTGTACAAATTGAATGTCATGTATCATAGTATCATATTATCAATAGGCCATTTCAGAATCTTAAGGACTATGGGTAATTTTATTGTTCATACCCAAAAATGAAAATAATGTCACGTCATTGGTCGAATTTCAATTGTTTAGGATGTTTTTAACCAATCACAACGCTTTGGTGTACACTTTTGAAAATATTACCCAGAATGCATTAGATTCTGAAACGGCGACTTGACCTTGAAGGCAACACAATCCATTTCAATGTTTATACCATATGTGTACTGCACTATGATATACTAACATCCAATTTAACACTATTGCAGGGGAAGGAATTTGACAGTATAATTTATTATTTATACAATTGTTTGTTGATTAGCTGTGATAAGTTATGGTTTTTATACATTATTTATTGAGTATTAAAAAGAATGAAAATGAGATTAGTTGCTTTTTAACATTATGTATTTGAAACCAATTCCAGCTTAGCTTAGAATGATATTTCAGGTTTTTGCAGGCGGACATGCAGCAGGTACTGTTTGCAAAAATTACCCCCCTCCCCCCAAAAAAAATAAATTGGAAAAAAAAGAAAAAGAAAAAAAAAATAATAAAGAAAAATATTAAAAATAATTAAGGAAAGATGGCAACAATGAACTTGATAAAACAACATTTTGAATTGGCTTTATAAGTCATAATTTTTTTATAAAGTGTTCAGATGAAAAATCATTGCTGTGTCCTGTATAAATTGCATTTCACCAACAGATGTTATTACACAAAGAGGGGAAACAAATTATTGGTGTTATTTAAATGAACACAGGTCTAACCATTTCAAAACCTGGATCTATTTTCTCGATGTCTTTGATTACAATTAACCTACTCCAGCAGTATAAATTGACCTCAGAATATATCCCATATCCCTATGTCTTGTCTCTTATTGTAAGGGAGCTACCATTTGATTTTTATGGGGGCTAGGATGAAAAATTTTGTCCTGCATTTTTTTTTTAGTTGTAATCTCTGTTCTGCCATTTTATTTTTCACTCTATTCGGTCCTGCCTTTTTTTGTTATTAGTTTATCCTGACTTTTTTTACATAAATTGTCATCCTGCCTTTTTTTGTGCCAAGTTGCTCATCCTGACTTTTTTTGACTCAAAACTCCTGTCCTGCCTTTTTTTAATCAAATTTCATCCTAGCCCCCCCCCCCCCCCCCCCCCACCCATAAAAATCAAATGGTAGCTCCCTAATTGCAGTAATTTATTTATTTGGCATGTTTATGATAACTTATGTGGTAGGGTTTGGGTGGTTTTTACAGAATAGAGAAAAATGGTCTCAAAAAATAAAGAAAAGATAATAACTGGGTGAACAAATATAAAGAATACAATATAAAGGGCAATAAAAAGTATAAAGAAAAATTAGCCTAAAAAGTTTAAGAATACAGAAATGGGGACCCTCTCCATCCAGACTCTCGTGTGTATACTAGTGAATATTAAGAAACAGGTTGTCTTGAGCATAATAATCTAAACAGAGCATTCCTGTAAGTTAACATGTACTTATAATAGAAAAAAAGAAGGATGCAAAACCATAAATCGATATAGATGGACAACACCATGGTCAAAGGAAAATTAATGAAGAGACATCCAATAGACCACAAAAAAAAACTATACAGAAAACTTAAGATTGTACTTAGGTGAAGTTAAATAAATCTAGAATTTAAAATTTAAACTTCGTCAGAAGAGCATTAGTTTTAAAGGAACAAAATAAGCTAAAAATATTGATAGGTTATGGAGCTCCTTTTCGAGATATTTAATTTTTTAAAAATGGCGGGAAAAGGCTGACTCGAACTTTTACCTTAAATTTGCATCGGTATTATTTGGGTCTCAAATCGAAAGTAAAAGAAATCTAGAATCTGCTTGAATTTTGGTAAATGACCTTTTATGAGCTATTGAAGTCTTATATGAAAAGACAATTGGGTGTTATGGGGCAAAATATTTTACCCTGATTCGTAGGAAAAAAAACCAAGGAGTCCGAACATCTGACAAAAATTCCTAAACCTAACCTATAAAGTAATCAACATAAACCCTGTGATGATGTAGTCTCAGATGAATCCTACCAAAACCTTGGAATAACTCAGGTGTTAAGGTTTCTGAAATCTCGGTTATTCTACATTGTAACCCAAAGTCTTAGAAAATGTATTGTATAAACATCAACTTCAACAGACAAGAGGCTCTAAAGAGCATGTGTCACTCACCTTGGTCTATGTGCATCTTCAACAATGGACCCTCTCCAACATTGTAGACTAGAATAGTTTACATGACAAAAATCTCTTTTTTGTTGATCTTGTATTTCAGATCATTTTTTCTATTTAAAGTTTCTATCTTCTTAAGTTTTTGCCCAAAACATACAAAAGGGTAAAACTAGTCATTTAAGGGCAACCACTCCTATCAAGAGTAGCAAAATTTGAACTATTTGTAGATCTTGTCTTGTTGGTCACTTTTGCTGTTCAAAGTGTCTATTTATCTATTAGTTTTCAAGATATAAGGCAAAACAAAAACTAAAATGGGTAAAAATCTTCATTAAAGAGCAATCACTCCAATAAGGAGTCAACTGACGATTTCAGCCATTCACTTGTTTTGTAGATCTCGTCTTGCTGATCGTTTGTACTATTTAAGTTTTTATCTATCTATTATAGTTTTTAAGATATTAGGCAAACACGCAAAAATGGTGAAAATCATCATTAAAGGGCAATAACTCAAATAAGTTGTCGTCAGATGATTTCAGCTATTTGACTTCTTGTAGATGTCGTCTTGCTGATCATTTTTGCTTATTAACTTTTATATATGCAATTTTTTACATATAGTTTTTAAGATGAAAGGCGAAATTGAAAAAAAAATGGTAAACAAAATCGTCATTTAAGTGCAATAACTCCTATAAAAAGTAGTTTGACAGTTTTGATGTAAATGAACAATTTGTAGATCTTATCATTCTGAACATTTCTTCCCTGTCAGATTTCCTCTATTCATAGCGGTGTTCAAGATAAGAGAAGACGTATATTTTATCCCTATGTTCTATTTTAATTCATGTCGGACATGTTGGTTGACAAACAGAGTCATCGGACACACATTTATTTAAACTATATACCCTAATGATGAATGTGTCCAAGTTTGATTCAATTTGGCCCACTAGTTTCAGAGAAGGTTTTTGTCGAGCCTGCGACTTTTGTTGCAGAAAGCTCGACATAGGGATAGTGATCCGGCGGCGGCAGCTACGGCGGCGTTAGCTTACTTCTTAAAAGCTTTATATTTTAGAAGCTAGAAGACTTGGATGCTTCATACTTTGTACATAGATGCCTTATGTTACGAAGTTTCCGTCTGTCATATGTCCATTGTCCTTGACCTCATTTTCATGGTTCAGTGACTACTTGAAAAAAAGTCAACATTTTTTGTAATGTTAATTTCTTTCTTATAATGAGTAATAGGATAACTATATTTGGTATGTGCGTACCTTGCAAGGTCCTCATGCCCGTCAGACAATTTTCATTTGACCTCGACCTCATTTCATGGATCAGTGAACAAGGTTAAGTTTTCATGGTCAAGTCCATATATCAGATACTATAAGCAGTAGGTCTACTATATTTGGTATATGGAATGATTGTAAGGTGTACATGTCCAACTGGTAGGTGTCATCTGACCTTGGCCTCATTTTCATGGTTCAGTGGTCAAAGTTAAGTTTTTGAGTTTTGGTCTTTTTTCTAATACTATATGTAATAGGTCAACTATATTTGGTGTATGGAAATATTTTATGATGTACATGTCAGTCTCGCAGGTTTTATTTGACCTTGACCTCATTTTCACGGTTCATTTCTCAGTGTTAAGTTTTTGTGTTTTGGTCTGTTTTTCTTCAACTATAAGCAATAGATCAACTATATTTGTTGTATGGAAGGATTGTAAGGTGTATATGTCTATCTGGCAGTATCATCTGACCTTGACCTCATTTTCATGTTTCATTGGTCAGTGTTAAGTTTTCATGGTTAAGTTTGTTTCTTAGGTACTATAAGCAATAGGTCAACTATATTTAATTGATTGTAAGGTGTACATGTCTGTCTGGCATGGTTCATCTGACCTTGACCTCATTTTCATGGTTAATTGGTCAATGTTAAGTTTCCTTGGTTAAGACTGTTTCTTAGAAACTATAAGCAATAGGTCAACTATGTTTGGGTTATTGAATGATTGTAAGGTGTACATGTATTTCTCGTTTGTTTTTTTCTGACCTTGACCTCATTTTCGTGGATCATGTTAAGTTCATGTGTTACTTGTAGTAAAGCTTTATATTTAGGACTATCAACCCCAAATCAATGGTTAGTAAAGAAGGCGAGACATTTCAGCGTGTGCACTCTTGTTTGTAAAAGTTAACAGACGACGGACGCTTAGTAATGAGAAAAGCTCACTTGACCCTGTGGGCCAGATGAGCTTAAAATCATAAACAGGAAGATGCTCATATTTTTTTTTACATCACTGGGTCGATACCTCTGCTGATGGGCTGTTAGTCACCGAGGGTATTATCAGCTCAGTAGTCAGTACTTAGGTACTGACATGATTTATAACCAAAACTTTTTTAAATTGTCCGTTTATGAATTTATGATAATTAAGAAACTAAGGTTTCAACTCCCTCAGGCAAAATTGACCTTACTTAGATGGATTTGGCTATTATTTTAGGTCCTTTTTTATACGGCCGCACATTTTTACGGTCGTATAATGGCATGACGTTGTCGTCGTCGTCCGAAGACATTTGGTTTCCAGACAATAACTTGATTATAAGTGTATGGATCTCTAAGAAGTTGTACCACAAAGTTCCATTCCACAAAAGGAAGGTTGGGATAGATTTTGGGAACTATTGTTCCAATTATTTAGGGATTAGGCCGCCAAAAAGGGGTCAAAACAAGCATTTTCCTTGTTTCAGGATCGACAATAACTTGTGTATAAGTGTATGGATCTCTATGAAATAGTACAAGGTTCCATACCTCAAAAGGAAGGTTGGGGGTTATGGCACTAAACGTTTAAGAATTAAGGGCCAAAAGGGGCAAACATTTTTGTTTCTGGTTTCCAGACAATAACTTGTCTGAAATTGTTTCATAAGGTTCCATACCAAAAAAGGAAGGTTATATTGAGTTAACCGTTTAGGAAAAAGGGACCAAAACAAAACTTACTCTGTAGACTGTGGATTCATTATTATTCGTTAGATACCAATTTTCGTGGATTTCGTGGCTACCCGGGAACCATGAATTCCAATGTACAACTAATTACAAATTTTCTATAAGAATGTATGCAGATTTTGGCAAAACCACGAAATCAAATATCCAATGCAATGTTTCCTCAGTCCACGAAAATTGGTACCCACGAAAATAAATGAATCCACAGTACATTGCTTATTTCTTGACCAATTTCAAT